ATGTCTATGGATAAAAATATTTTCAATAATTTACAAGAATTAGACAATATAGAGATAGCTTGTGCATATCAATGTGATGTAGAAGATTTAAACAAATATTTAAAATTTAGAAATACAGACTTCACAATTGTATCCCAGAATATAAGAAGTATTTATTCAAATTATGAAGATTTTCAACTGACATTAACTTCTCTACAAGTTAATGCAGACATATTAATATTAACAGAATGTAGGATTCAATCTATTAAACCTATTCCATGTCCAGATAACTACCATGTTTATAACACTTATTATCACGTAAATCAAAATGACGGAGTAGTGATTTATATAAAAAAAAAAATATTTCATCTCATGTTAAAGAAATAAATTTGGTACATGCGTCTTGCATACAAATCCAACTACAAAACTTAGTAATACTGGGCATATATAGGTCACCATCTAATACCAATGCAGAGCAATTCATCAGTTCTCTTAGTGAACATTTGGACTCGTTAAAAAAACATTCAAATATTGTAATAACAGGAGATATTAATATAAATATAACACCTAGACTTACAGAACAAACATATGAAATAATGAATAGGTCGAACTACTTAAATATGCTTTCTACGTATGGGCTATTACCGGGACATCATATCCCTACAAGAGAGAACAGCTGCTTGGATCATTTTATACTAAAATTAAATCAACAAACTATTTTTGCTCAGATTGCTGTATTAAATACTACTATCACAGATCATGCTATGATATTACTAAAATTAAGTAATATTAAACAAAACGCAATTAATGTTAAAATTAAATATAACACTGACTTTCATAAAGCACTTGCCATTCTAGCTCAAAAAAACCTATCGCACCTTCTTTTTAGTGATAATCCAGACTATATCATATATCAATTAATTTATAAAATAAGAGAATCAATTGAAGAAAATACAAAAATAGTAAATATTCCTAGTAAGAAGCGACAAATTAAACCATGGATAACTACAGGTATTTTAAAATGTATACGAAATAGGAATTGTATGCAAAAAAAGCTAAGATCGGATCCTTATAATGAAGTATTAAAAATTACATATAAAAGGTATCGCAAGTATGTTACTAAATTGATTAAGAAACTTAAGCGAGAATATGAAAGGAAACTTCTAGCAATATCAACTAAATCAACTAAATCTCTCTGGAAGCACATAAAAGACATAACTTATAGAAAACAATCACGTGTTAATAGTTTGGACTTATTAAGTACGAAATCCTCACCGGGTGATTCGATTGATAAAGTGAACGAGTACTTTGCTAGTGTGGGTAAAAATCTTGCCGAGAACATAAATACTAACAATCCTAATATTTGTTTATCTTTTTGCCATATTGATCAAGTACATGAAACTGTATCTGTAAAAGCACATTCTTCCTTTGTAATGATGGAAACCTATCCGGAAGAGATAAATAGTATTATTTCAGGTCTCAAATCAGATTCCGCCCCTGGGTGGGACAATATTTCAATGGGTTTTCTCAAGATGGCTAAACAATTACTTGTCCCCATCTTCTGCCATTTTGCTAATATCTGTTTTGAAAAAGGTGTCTTTCCGAAGCTGTTGAAACGATCTATTGTAATTCCGATTTACAAAAGTGGAGATAAGAAAGAAGCTAGCAATTATCGACCAATCTCTTTGCTACCTGTGTTCTCTAAGATTTTGGAAAAGTTAATTAACAACAGACTTATACAATATCTCTCTAAATTTGACATTCTAGCAGACTCTCAATTTGGCTTTAGAAAGGGATGCTCTACGGAAGATGCAGTTGCTGCGTTGAGCTCTCAAATTGTTAATACCTTAGATAACGGTAAAAAATGTCTTGCTGTCTTCCTGGATTTAAAAAAAGCCTTTGATACTGTATCAATCCCTATACTTATCAATAAATTAGAATGGATTGGAAGCAGAGGTATACCTCTAAAACTATTAAAGGATTATCTCTCTGACAGGATGCAGACGGTAAGAGTAGGTCAATACTCTAGTAGTTATATCAATGTAAATTATGGAGTACCGCAGGGAAGCGTCTTGGGCCCTACGCTATTCTTAGTATATATTAATAATCTATGTAGTATGAGTATGAACAGGGGGAGAGTTTTCTCATACGCAGATGACACTGCGATGTTGTTTTGGGGAGACACGTGGGAAGAAGTGCAGTTAATAGCGGAAAAACAATTAGCTAAGGTTGCTCGTTGGCTTGACAACAACTTACTCACTTTGAATGTTAGTAAAACTCAATTCATATGTTTTTCTATGACTAGTCGATCACAGCCAAAGGATGATTTTAGAATCAAAATACATAAATGTAACAATCCTTCCAGAGGTAGTAACTGTACGTGTACACCTATTGGAAAAGTTTCATATACAAAGTATCTGGGCGTTATGGTGGATCAGCGACTTTCTTGGTACAGACATGTTGAATTAGTATCTAGTAGAATTCGAAAGCTCACTTGGATATTTAAAACTTTAAGACATGTTGCCACTTTACATCTTTTGAATCAAATATATGTAGCGCTTGCTCAGTCCATTATAATATATTGTATACCAATTTGGGGAGGTACTTACAAAAGTAAATTTATTGAAATTGAGAGAGCTCAGAGATGTCTACTAAAGGTTATGCATTTTAAACCGTACAGGTACTCCACTAGCATTTTGTATTCATCATGTGGGCTGATTTCGGTGAGGCAGTTGTACATATTACACACTTTATTGAAAAAACATAAGTCTTTGACCTTTGATCCTATTTACAGTAGTAAAAGAAGAAATTATAGCGTAGCTCCTATTTGGAGAACGAAAACCACCTTTGCGAAACATCAATATGACAAACAATCAGAACACTTATACAATCAGATTAATAAAATATTGCAAATATATCCATTAAACACATATGACTGTAAGAAAAAAATAATGCAGTGGCTTAAGACACTTAATTACGATCAAACTGAAGCTTTATTACAATTTATCTTATAACACATTCACTCACTGTCTTTTTTAACACATGCACACATGCACACACAAGCACACGCACGCACACACAAACACACACACACACACACACACACGCGCACGCGCGCGCGCGCACACACACATACACGAACACACACACACACACACACACACTCACACACACACACACACACACGAACACACACCCACACACACATACATACACACACACACACACACACACACACACACACACACACACACACACACACACAGACACACACATACCCTGTTTCTTTTTTGTTGAATGTATTTAGTTAAGGGAGGGCGAGGACCTTCTACCACAAGTATCTTTATACTTAAAAGAAGTCCTCAAACTTTTACTAATTTAAGAATATGTTGGAAACAATAAACTTTCATTTCATTTCATTTCAGTAACTCTATATCAAGCTAGCTGTTCCCCGCGACTTCGCCCGCGTGTAATTTAGGGATTTAAATTTTTTGCGCGGAACCCTAATCGTTTTTTAAAAATAAAAGTAGCCTAAGTTACTCCTTATAACTTCAGCTATCTGCCAATAAAAGTCCCGTCAAAATTGATCCAGCCACTTCGGAGATTAGCCGGAAGAAACAGACAGACAGATAAACAGACAAAATTTTTAAAAGTTGTATTTTTGTTATAAGTACCGTATATACTTTCATATGCATTTAGTAAAAAGCTGTCATTTGGACATTACAAACAGACACTTCAATTTTATTTATTTGTATAGATTTGTAAAGATGAAGATATTGCAATATTTTTTTTAGATAGGGCCCAAGTGTCTAAGAAATAAAACTTACAACTGTAAACTATATAAATTTATTTGTATAAGAAGAAAAAGATAAACAACAACCTTAACTGCTGTGATCATTATGATTTATATCTTTCTCATAATAATGGTAGACCTTCGCAAGTTCACTGTTGAACTAAAGCCAGCCAGTCATGTGATTAATTATTAATAAAAAAAAGTATTATATTTTGGTATTTAACGCTAATAACACATTGATATTATCGTCAGTAAAGTCCATGACACTTCGAAGATTTAGACACGAGAACACCTTACATTTCAAAATCCATTAATACGTTTAGGCTATGGGAGGTTACAAATACAAAGATCAGATAAATATATTATACACTGCAATTGCATACACCTGAAAAACTACCCTCCACCAAGTAATTAGGTAAAAATAACTAATTTAATACTAGCTGTTCCCCGCAACCTCGTCCGCGTGGATTTTATTACGATGGATTTCTAGGATTTTAATTTTTTTTGCGGATCCCTAATTATTTTTATAAAATAAAAGTAGTCTAAGTTACTCCTCATAACATCAGCTATCTGCCAGTGAAAGTCCAGTAAAAATCGGTACTGCCGTTTTGGAGATTAGCCGAAACAAACAGATATACAGAAAGACAGACAAAAATTTTAAAACCGTCTTTTTTGTTATAAGTATCGTATATACATACTTTCCTATGCATTAAGTAAAAAGCTGTTATTTTGATATTACAAACATACACTCCAATTTTATTTATTTGTATAGATATTGTATTAAATTCTAGTTATCATCATTTTTGTGCCGTGTGTGTGTGTCGTGTAGCGGCGGCGTAATATCATCGACTATATCATCCCGTGGGAGTCGTAAGAGGCGACAAAGGGAAATGTAACCTGGAGAAAGGCCGCAGCATCTTCCTGCCTTTCCAATACACCTGTCAACCGTGGCAACTATGGCAAATGCCCATGAGGTATTTTATGGGCGCGTCCTATGTTCGGTGGTAGATGTATGTAGAATGTAGTATCTATATTATTTCAACGGAATACTATTGTTTACGTGTACATGCGTGTGCGTGCATATACGTGCGTGTGCGTGTGTAATAAATATGCGAATCCAATACCATTTGAGAAATGTTGAATTCCTTTCCCTTTGCAGGTGCTATTTAAAAGACTGATAGAAGACTATACCAAGTGCTATGTTAGAAGAATAATGACGTGAGCTACGATGTCGAAGGTGCTGTCCGCGCTCGGTGGCGCGTTACCAGACGAAAGGCCAGTGCTGTCCTTGCAGATAGTCGAAAGTGTGGCCAAATGTCCGGCGGGGTATTGGCCCGTTAGCAGGACCTACGATGAGGACGCCGACGCTGGCCTGCTACGCCAAAATGGACTCTTCGGGAAGAAACCTAGCCACTATATTTGCTTGTCGAAGTCTGAAGGTATGAACTAATTAGTTGATTGTTGTTGGTTAGATATAATGTTCACATTGGCATACAAAGCAAACATAACATAACAGTTTTTTACGTGGTAGAGCCATGCTGCAGCTATATTAATATTAGTAGTATAGTTGTAGCATGAATGGGTCGGCTCTACCGGGGAAGGACCACGCTCTCACAGAATATCAGCGTAAAATAGCAGCTTAACGCTACTGTGTTTCGTATGGTGAGCGTAGAGAACCGGAGATCCTTTTTACTGGAAATGAGGCATTCCATCTTAGTCCTCACGGGTGACAACGCATCTGCATTTTGATTTGTAATAGAGGATATGTGTAGATAAAAGAAACCGTCTCGTCTACGCCAGACGTAAAATAACCAGGCCGCGTCCAAGGTGCGATACGTCTGGTGTAGCGATCGACTAATCCATAAATAATGCACGCATTTGTACGTGCACGCACGTGTTTCTATGAACAATAGGTAACACACTGTTTTATTATTACATTAAATTAACTTTTTTATTTAATAACTTAAATTATATGTCAACCTACCCATTATTAAGCCGAACGTCCACCGCAAACAAAACTTAGTTTATCTTAGCTGAGCCAGTTTTTCATACATGTGCGTCCACCGCAAACTATGCCAGCTAAGCTAGGTAAAATAGCAAACTAAGTCAAACTAACTTAGTTGTGTAGGACGATCCGAAACTACACGAACGAATCTAAGCGCCTCTTACCCCCTTACCTTATCCCTCTGGCGCCATACGCTTAGTGGTTTTTTTAGCTTACATATTTTTCGGTGGACGTCATAGATTTGGCATGTACTTACGTGCAACGATTTTTGAGGTTGTCTTAGCTTAGGTCACTGAGCCTAGTTTTCAAATAGTTTAGTTCGCGGTGGACGTTCAGCTTAATTAAGAAGACTGAATCTTTATTAATGTACTATACACATTATACATGTTAAGTATAAACAGTGTTGGGACTTAAATAAAACTCGATGTGATGATGATATATTATCCAAAAATACAGCATTGTTTTACATACATTGTTGTTTTAGTATGTGTTGAATTTGTTTTATTTAAAAACGATATTAAATATTACGAGAGTGTGCAACCGATAACGTCAGTCGTTCCTTTTTTGTTTTTCTTCTTTTTCCTTGAACGTTCAGTTTCTTTTTGGCCAGTATATTTATAGGGCTTAATAAAGAAATGAATTGCAGTCGTAAACAATAACACAGAGTATGGTAAGATTTCAATGAGTGTAGCCTCTTAAGCCAAAAACAGAACACATTCTTCTGTGTATTTTTTCAGGGTTCTTCCTTTTGATAAGTTCTTATAGTAGATTCTCATTCCGTGGCGAGGATACTCTTTCGCTATTTTATTTAACCCACTGCATTGGTCTTACGTATCTGGCATCAGAACGCTCCGGACGTGCATTATTCGATTGAAGTCAAGATCAATCAATGCGCAAGTAATAAGGACATCCATTATGTAACATTGTGTATTCAATGTGCCATTGTCGATGAAAACTAACTTCGTATATTTTCATCGAACTAATCGTTATATATTAACCGTGTAGTGGCGGTTTTAGAATATCATCGTGGGTGTCGTAAGAGGCGACAGTGATAAACTTAAACAGAATATGGGAAGCAGCATCTTCCTGATAACTCAAAATTATAAAAAAAACTGCGGTTGCCAACCCGTTTGTCGTCTGTGGTAACTATGGGCAAAATCCCAATGAGTCAATCTATGGGAGAAGCCTATGTTCAGCAGTGGACTTTTATAAGCTGTAACGGATAGATGGAATCGTTATATATGTTACAGTCAAAACTCATAACTGGTCAAAACCATTTTTGACTGCAAAAATCAGGCAAAAGTAGTTTTGACTAAAGATGTTGGCCAATACTACTTTTAACTGCTTTTTGCAGTCAAAAGTAGTTTTGGCTGTGACGTATACATACATAACCGAAACTCCCATCATAAAAGAGATGAACAGTAGAAACAAAAACACGCCTGTGCGTAATAACGAACTTGATGTTGAATACATTTGATTACCAGCATATTGACAAACTTTCCTATCCGCGAAAAAAAAACAAATAGTTAAACAATTGAAATGTTCATAATTGACGCACGGGACGGTTAAATAGATAAGTTAAAGTTGGTTTGTAGGAGAAACAAAACATTTGACTTAGCCGTTAGCCACCGTAGAGTCTATATCACCTGAGGATGCCTCGTGTAGAGGCGAAACACGTGTCGTATTATTGTCAGTGGTGTGTCTTGCCTAGTGTAGTAGTGTTGGGAGTAGCGGTGCTGGGATTAGTGGTGACGGGGATAGTGCACGCAATTGAGGGAGGGCGGGAGGTGCTCTTCATACTAGGTAAGACTCATCATTTTACTTTATAACGCGGATATTTGCGAAGTAAATTTTTGTAAAAGCTTTTATATAATGGATTTCCGCAAAGTAACGCCTGATTCTATTAATTATAACAAAACATTGATTGTTCCGGAATTAATGAGTAAAGGTTTTTGTTAGAGTAAACTGATAAAAAGGGCAGTTGAGAAATGTATTTGTTGCATTTAACCGATACGGATATCATTAACTGGTTGAAACATAAAGCGCGATTACATAATAAGTAATAATAAGCCTCCTTTGTTTTAAAACTAAATTGAGGAAATTACCCCAACAGTTTGTAACCATAACCAATTGCCGCAATGCGCTGATCGAATCATGTTTAAAATACGTACGTTTGTTATATTTTTTTTTTTTATAAATATAAGAGAGCAAACGAACATGCGGCTTACCTAATGGCACAGAATAAATAATAGTACCTGATGGTAAGTGACTACCACTACCAGTGCCTGATTTACAGTTGCGAGTTGCGTTAGCCCTAAGCTAACTATAAATGTGCCCCCCCCCCCCCCCACCGGCCTGATTTACCTGTAAGTGTGACCATCGCCCATAAACAACTGAAACACCATCGAAATCACCGGTGCGTTACCAGCCTTTTTAAAGGGAGTAAGCTCGAGTCTTTAAGGTTTCTAAGTCGTATCGGTCCGGAAAAATCGCCGGTGGTAGGATGATTCCACAAAGAAGTCTTGCGAAGAAGAAAACTAGTAAATCGCACAGTCATGGTGTACCGTCTAACATTCAAATTGTGTTGATGGTGAGTTTTGTCCCGATGTGCGTTGGTGGAATTTAGGGGCTGGAACTAAACCGAACAATTTGTCTAACTCCCTGTGGAAAATGCGATAGAAAATGTAATGGGATGCAATATCTCTTCGCAGCGCCAGTGAATGGAGCTGATCAGAAAGAACTCGATCGTCGACGATTCATGTCACTCTTCGCTGGATGCGGTCAAGTGGAAGGAGCTGGTACTAAGATGCCCCGGTTCAGAGATGAGAACTATACTCCATGTGAGGGCGAACTTGCTCCTTGTAAAGTTGCATACACGCTCGTCGGTTAAGGGTACTCCTAATCTGGCCCATTTTCAATGAATCGCCAATTTGGTCGATAAATCTTCGTCTAGGGCGTCCCTTCCCGACCCTGCCGTTCACTTCTGAAACATAAATTTGCTTTGTCACTCTTTCCTCGTTCATTCTTTCTACGTGACCAAACCACCGATGCATTCCTTTTTTAATCCTGGTCACAACGTCATCTTGCAAACCATACTTTTCTCTTATCACACTATTTCTCACCATGTCATTCAGATTCAGCCCTAGCATACTCCGTAATGACCGCATTTCTACAGCCTTTATTCTACTCTCATGCTTCTTCTGCCAGACCCAATTTTCACTACAGCATTATGAATTGCCATACGTGCCTTCTTTGACACATTCTGACTCTTCATAATAGCGTGTAGAGCCCCATTCACTTCCGCAATCCACTTTTCGATCCTCCGGGAGACAGGACGTGACGGGTGGCGAACCTCGTCGCCGGTTTTTCTCCCGGAGATTCTTCGCACCCCTGCCCCATTAAAGGCGCGCCGGGAACTCGGGGTAATTTCTTTTATGTGTAACTATGTAAAATAAAGTGTCAAAAAGCGTTAATAAGTATTGAAACAAAGTTTCTTCATAACTTCATCATCATTACAGTCCATCGCAAGTCCACTGCTAAACATGGGTTATCAGATCCATCGATTTCCTGCCTTTTTTATCAGGTCGTCACTCCGTCTAGTGAAGAGCGTTGCTCATAGCTTGGCATACGGGTTTGCAACCACAGTGTTTTTTTACCGACTTCAAAAAGCAACCGGATTCGACTGTACGTTTTTTTTTTAATGTGTGTTACCTCATAACTTTTTACTGGATGAACCGATTTCGATGATTCTTTTTTATTTGAAAGCTGGTGCTTCACATGTGGTCCCATATAAATTTGATCAAGGTCTGACCAGTAGTTTTTTTTAAATTATTCTTAATAATTTATATTGAAGTCGGTTGTACAAAATTTTTAATTTAAAATTATTTATAATTGTTATTTATTAGGAAGACGCTGCTGTTCATACCCTGGGTTGTTCCTCTTTGTCCTCTCTTACGACACATGCGACACGATATGGAGTACTGTATATTCTCACTGCGCCACTACACGGTGAAAAAACCTGAGATGACGTAAGAATATGCACATGATAGAGCAAGTTTTTCATGAGTCGTCAGCCATATTCGTGACTAATTGTTTACATATTTATTAGCAGTTCACTCGTCTATGTCTGTCAATTGACCCATTATACTTGTACCGTTGAATTTCGTCATTCAACTTACACATCTTTATATATATAATTCTTCCGTGTGTTTATCACTGAACTACTAAACGGCTTCCTCCTAGACGGCCAATTTTGATGAATTTTTTGATTGGGCTTTAGTGGGTCCCTGGATGGTTTAGCCATTGGAGCCATAACCATTGTTTCTTTTTTATAATTAGGATGACAAACGGTTGGTGTTGTAGCCCAACAGGAAACAAATCACCACCTTTTAAATATAGACCCACCGTACACACAAAAGAGGATATTTATAACCTAACAAGAAATGTTGTAACAAGAATTGATGCGAACCGGATGTGTGGCAATTGTAAATATAATGAAAGTTAATGATGTCATCATGTCATTTAAGTTCTTTGCGCTCGCTTTCATTAACTTGTCTCGAAGGTCGGACTGGGAACTGTTGCCTTTTAGCTTAAAGCGTATTTACATTGATCAAAGACATACCTAATAAAGTACAGTTTTAAGACATATTATGTAGCTAAAAACCAATTGTTTTTCTTTTCGTCTTTGTCTTTGTCTTTATTTCAAATGCACACATTCCAATAAAAATGTAACACTAGCGATCCACCCCGGCTTCGCGCGGGTGATTTCTGGATTTCGAAAACGGCGCCACCTACCAGGTCCAATTGTGAATTTTAACCATTCAAAGACCCACTAAGACACACACAAAACATTTCATCAAAATCGGTCCAGCTATTTTCGAGTTTTTGCGAGACAAACAGCAATTGATTTTATATATAGATATTACTCGATTATTCATATTATTCATGCATAATTAAAAACTAACAACTGTTAGAGAAATATTCTGAATGGCTAGCAGTATAGTGCCTAAGGCCCGCCACATACATACGGAATTCCGTTTCGGGATTCCGTTTCGATATTCCGATTCGAAATTCCGAACGCAGCAAGTCCATATAAAACCTATGACCCGTCACACACGTACGGTAGTATTCCGTTCGAAATTTTGCGGGTTAAACGGAATTCCGTATGTGTGTGGCCAACTATTCGTAATTTCGAAACGGAATCCCGAAACAGAATTCTATGTTGCCGGCCTAAGATGTGAATCATCTGATAACTGCTATTGCCGATCCCGTTCTCTCAGGCAGGAACGATACCGTTACAGCCTATTTAAAGTCCACTGCTGAACATAGACCTACCCTATAGATTGCCTCATAGGGGAGATATTTTACACAGTCGCCACGCTTGGCATGCGGGTTGGTAACCGCAGTTTTTTTCCCCATTTGTTTCCCTCGGTCGCCTCTTACGACACGCACGGTATGATATGGGGTAGTGGATATTCTTACACCGCCACTACAAGGTGACTTAGGCATACCAATCATAGAAAATCTTCAAGGGGGACTTTGACCAGCATTGGAATGATATTGTCTAATGATAATTCGTACAAATCTGATATCGTTACTAGTGACTGTGCTTTAACTATAGATAAAGGTGCGTTAGTCACCTTTAAACGTTATTTTATGGAGTAAAGGTGACAAACGAGCACACAGTCCACCTGATGCTAAGTGGATGCTGTGGCCCATAGACATCTACATCTATCCTCAATTAACTGAGGAACGCCTCGTTTCCAGTAAAAAGGGTCTCCAGTTCTCTACATTCACCAAATGAAACACAGCAGCATTAAGCTGCTATTTTACGCTGGTATTCTGTGAGAGCGTGGCTCTACCATGTCAAACGTCGTGAATTATGCACATTAGATGTTGAAAAAGAAAACTGAAGTAAAAAATGTCGTTAGGTACGTGGAAAATGCATTGTATTTTTCTTAAATTTTATTAACGTTAAGCCGTCTGCACAAATAAAATTTAAATGTATCTACATAATATATGACCCTTAAATTACGGTATTCGTCCAATTTCAGCGCAATGAACTGCGTTCGTCCATTTCTAAGTTCATCATTCGTTTTTTGTAGAGTAGTAAACTGTACATAGTAACGGTAAAAATATTTTGCTTCAGTTTCGATTAAGAATGGTTTTATGATACATGCAGAAATCGCCCAGTGACTTCAATTTATTAACCGACTTCAAAAAAAGGAGGAGGTTCTTAAATCGATTTTATTTTTTATGTGTTACCTCAGAAATTTTTTCTAGGTGAACCTATTTTGATGATTCTTTTTTTATTAGAAAGCTGGTGGTAATCTTGTGGTTCCATATAAATTTGATCAATTTCTGACCAGTAGTTTTTGAGCTATCCATAATAATGCGTATTTAATTGATTTCGGCTACATTGATGATGATCTCATTTTATTTATATTGAGGTCTGTTGTACAAAATGTTTAAGGGTACCGCTTGTTGGTACAAGCAATTATTATAGACGTAAAGTTACACCATATTGCGTTTTTTCTTTTTGTTTTTATTATTAAAAAAAACGGCCAAGTGCGAGTCGGACTCGCGCACCGAGGGTTCCGAACAAATCCGTAGGTATATAAGTTTAAAATTATTAAAAATATTTTTATTATATGATGTAACTAAAATGTATGCTTTTCGCAATTTTTCCTTTATTGTGTTCCTTACGGGTATTTAGAATTTGAAGTAACGGATTACTGTACGTAGGCTTAAGATTTTACGTACTTTTTGTTTTGTAATTGTCGGCTGTATTGTAAGTTTTATTCGCGTCAATGTCGTGATCGCTGTACTGTACCTACTCTTTCTAATCTGACGACGTTTTGTAGGACAAGGTCATAACGATCTGAGTTGTTACGTTCACTAATTGTTACGGTGTGATAGAAATGTAATTGATGTTGTGCGTGGATGTTATGCTATTTATGCGTTCCTGTGACGCTGTTTTATTTCACACTAGCAAAGGTATAACCGTACGAGTCCATAATCTAATAAAAAAAGAAACAATTTGGATCTACTGAATATTAGGACTTTTCAAGAATATCTATAATAAAGTATTTCTCAAAACATTTGCCTACATATGTGGTGGGTCGGTACAACCAGAGTAGGTACCATCACGAGCCTGTAAAGTGTAAAATTACAGCACGTCCGTTTCGCTTACATTTACCGCCACAAATCTGTTTTACCGAAATCTCATTCGTCAATCAGCGAGTGGCTAACACTTTCAGAAAGAGTTGGTATATTCCCACATTTCAATTACTAAATAATAGTGCTTGCACTGTTGTGTTTTAGTATTTGGCGGTTTGGTACCGCAGTGGCTAAGGATTTGTCTGTGGCTCTGCGGGTCTCGGGTTTGAATCCCACACTGATCAAATATTTATATGGCCTATATATATACAAATAAATAGAGGAAAGGTACCAATTATGGAATACGTCCCTAATATCGAGTACCGTAATATTCGATTAAGAGACTAAAATTGTTTTTTTACTTGATTTTTTTTTGTTTGATTTAAAAAAATATCTTTCATTTCATTAGTTATGCTTACTTCTATTCATCGGATAGGAAAAGGATACATATTTAAAATGAAAACAAATAACTGCAGCTTAAAAAAAACTCCTTTTTATTGCTTATTGTGGACAAAATTTCATATTATAGTAGGCAATACCAACCCGCCATTGCATTTTATGTGTCGTCTATCTTTATCTAATATTAGCAACGGTATTGTTTTCGCGACATGTGTAAGTGAGACAGATATATGTTTACTTAAAAAGGTTTAGTGGTTTCAAAGCTACGTCGTCGCGGTTAGATAGTGGTTTCACTTTTTTCGATGCGCGGTAATATGGTTTGCTCTAGTCTGGTATAACCCAATGTGTAAAACACTTTCGCGGCATAGCAAATCCTTGTGTGGGTGTTGGGTAACATTTTTAAGAAAAAGAGGCCATGTCAGTCCATAGATCCTGTAGCTAGAAGTTCCGAATCCCCTTTGAAGTTGAAACATAACAGTAGCAGGTGTTTAAAGAGCTTTTTTACCTGTCCCATTAGACTTGGTTTACTAGGTGATAAAACTTCTTTTCTGCCTAGAAATCAATCTGGTCTACCACCACCCATTTTCCTTTTTCTGTCGTTAATTAGCATTGCATGCACAACTGTGTTCCAGCTAGCCAGTATATTACAGTCTATGAGGCATTCCATCTTAGTCCTCAGAGATGACAACGCATCCGTAGTCTTCTTCATTTAAAGTTGGCTGCAGGCTGCAAATTCGTTTGACACTTCATTTTAATAAAAAAAAGCTGTGCTTGATTATATGTGGTGCGGCAGGCGTGCCTGGCTACGTGATGGACGGCGTGGCGGTGGTGGGCGAGCGCGAGGCGGCGCCGGCGGGCTACAGCGTGGCGGGGCGCGCGGGCAAGCGGCGCCTGTGCACGCGCGTGTCGCGCCCCGCCGCCGCCGCGCCCCGCGCCCCCGTCACCCCCGTCACCGACGTCATCGTCTGCTCCAAGATGCGACAGGCGCCGCGCGGCTTTCTGCTCGCTGGGTAAACTCTTTTTTTTATTGGCTACAAGTTTTTTTTAAATTTATTGTGGTATTGGCTACGAGGCTTTCTGCTTCATTAGCCAGTAGTCTCATGTTTTGGTTTAATTGTCACGCTTGGTAGATGGTATGTCGATCGCAATACCGTCTCGCACTTTTAATAACGCTGGGTGTCGTAAGAGGCGACAGAGGGATACTGATCCAGGAGATGGGCAGCAAACTCTTCTTGATAGAAACTCAACCCACTTGCCAAGCGTGGCAATAATTGGCATTCTAATTAGTATTCTATTCTATTCTATTCACTGGCGACACCATTCGTATTGTCTTAATTTTTTTTTATAGAATGGGGATGACAAACGATCACATAGTCCATGTGATGGTAAGTGGATGCTGTAGCCCATAGACATCTTCATTTATCCTTGATTAAGTATCAAAATACAGATGCATTGTCACCCCTGAGGACTAAGATGGAATGCCTCATTTCCAGTAATAAAGGGACTCTGGTTCTCTACATTCAACATATGAAACACAGTACTATTAAGGTGCTATTTTACGTTGGTATTCTGTGAGAGCGTAGTCCTACTCCGGTCGAGTCGACCCATTCGTGCTACAACCATAATATACCTGCAGTGTATCTCACGTCAGGACGTGAAAGAGTGAGTGAGGTAGTTCAATGTTGAAGTTTGAGAAATTCTTTCAATTTGCTGTCACGATGTCCTCAAACGTGGTAACTCATGAGTGAGGAACACATCACTAATAGCCAGTGTGGCGCACAAACAAATGGAAAATTGGTCGTTAACTTATTTAAACCCGGATCTATACGACGACAATATCGTTGTTAGGCGCACCTTAACAGCAAAACATGTAAGCAATGCGTGATTCAAGGTTTATAATTGATTAAGGATAATATCTCATTCTAGTGGCTCGTAATGACTGCACAATCACGTGACGTATGATGTGATACATGGTCTATTGCCTGTCCATTGATATGAATACGTGTCAATATTGTAAAGTAATAGATACTATTTTTTTTTATAGAATACAGGTGACAAATGAGCGCACAATCCACCTGATGGTAAGTGAATACTGTGTCCCATAGACATCTACATTTTTTTTACGTGGCATTTGTAGTTGTAGCATGAATGGGTCGGCTCGACCGGGGAGGGACCACGCTCTCACAGAATACCAGCGTAAAATAGCAGCTTAACGCTGCTGTGTTTCGTATGGTGAGTGTAGTGAACCGGAGACTCTTTTTACTGGAAACGAGGCACTCCAACTTAATCCTCACCGGTGACAACACATCTGCATTTTGATTCGTAATCGAGGATAGATGTAGATGTCTATGGGCCACAGCAACCACTTACCATCAGATGGACTGTGTGCTCATTTGGCACCTGTATTCTATAAAAAAAAATCTCGGAGCTGAGGGCGGCGGGTTCGTATCCCGCAATTCCCAGTAATTGTTCCGCATCTGGGTGTTTGCAATTCGTCCTCGTGCAATTTGTGTTTGTAAACAGCCCCCACGATACAGGACAAAATCCTAGTGGTAACTTTTTTTTAAAGAAATAAATACCTCTCAGTTCAATGTAATCAATTTATTTTTGCAATTTAATAATTAAATGGATATGATTAATTCTAGTGAGATCAACGGCAAAATGGTGTGCTACAAGTTAAGCGGCGGCAGCACGGACACGTCGCCGACGGGAGCGCCCAACGAGTATGAAAATGTCGTTACCAATATCACGCCCGAGGCTAACAGGAGGTGAATATATTTATAAACTAAGAAATACATATATGCACATTATTATTGTATTTTTTGGAATCTCTTTAGGTTCCAAAAATACCGGTAATTAGCGGTTCAGGTACTAGAACCAGAATTGTTATCGTAACCTAAAGATGTACCCTAGTAGGGGGGGGAGGTTACCTCTTTTTTCAAAATGGTTTATAATTCACGCTGTTCTTCCAAAGTGTTTTCAAAGAAAGAAAATTGACCAGAACTAAGACAGGCAATTTAATTTATATTATCCATACCAACTATTTTTTTATAGAATGAGGGTGATAAATGAGCACAGTCCACTCGATGTCAAGTGGATGCTAAGGCCCATAGACATCTATCCTCGATTAAGAATCAAAATACAGATACGTTATCACACCTGAGGACTAAGATGGAACACCTCGTTTCCAGTAAAACGGGTCCTCAAGCTCGGGCATTAAGCTGCTATTTCACGGTGGTATTCTATGGGAGCGCGGCCTTTCCCCGGTCGAGCCGACCTATTCGTGACAACTATAATATAGCTGCAGCGTGGCTCTGCCATGTATTAAACTTTTCAACCGTTCCAAATATTTTCAGTTCGGTATCTGTTAGACTGTACCAGGAGCTGAAATTGCGTTGGGACGGCTGCACAGGGTATATGTATATTGTTATTTGATCTTCGTTTCACGTGTGTTCGATTTACGTTTGAGTTTACATTGCACGAAGTTTTCAACGGCCTATTCTTAAAGGGAGAAGAGCTCGGCCTATTTTTTAATTTATATGGATTGCCAGCATAAGAATCAGCAATTAATATTATAATTATTGGCAATCACAGCATGCGTTGTGTTACAAAAAGTTAAACAAATTCAACAAACATGTGTATATAATAAAAAAAAAAAAGAAATAGGAAATAAAAGCTGATTTGTACAACAGCAGTTTAACATACGTCAACATGTTTATGTTTGGTAATGAATTGAGTGAGATTATCATGTTGAATGTCACGGTCGGGTGTTCCTTAGCATGTGTAATAACGCTCCTATAGTGCATTAACGCGTGTTTTTGTAACATGTAAACGATTCTGTCACTTGTGTTTATTAGTGTGCGTGGTTTTTCTGTAGTTTTTTTTTTTAACATGTTTATTTTGATAATGTACATTGCACAATGTATAGATTTTTGTATTAACCAAAGTACAAACTATTTATAATAATGTTATCCAGACCGAATTCCGGTCACGGCGGCCAGTCTAAACGGAGACTGGCCGTCTGCGCAGGATAGGATTATAGTCTCAGAGTGTATGCGCAAGCACAGGTGCACTCTCTATATAGTATTTATATCACTATCTATCCCTCACTCTCATAGTCCGATGGGACGGCAATTCGACACGACCGTAGAGAAAGACCAATGACTTTATACTTTCCTAGGCATGGGGTTAAATACCACAAAGAACAATGGCCAAATTTCTATAGGAGCTTGACTTGACTTTTATTTTTAATGTCCTAAAACAAACTATATCTAGATTGGTTTGTTTTGATGTTGTAAACACCATCCCGTTTGAAAATCATATCGATATAGCCACAATTTTTTATAATAACGTCAACAATACTTTTGAGGTTAGCATCACATAATATGTAATCTTTTTCAGTGAGCGGCAATGTGTATCAATGCTTATATTACAATTAACACATAGCAATCGCAGGGCAAGTTGTCATTGTTGTGTAGCTGTAGTCTGCATGATGTCTCTCACAAATATGCAAGATGCAAAATCGGTGTCCAGAAATCAAAAGCACAGAATAATCGTTACAAGTGGTAGTTATCAGTCCGTAAAACAATGCCGAGGTCAAAACAACAGAAGGAAATTTAAAATAATATAGTACGTATCACAATCCACAACAACGAGTGAAGCGAATAAGATGGTGAATGCGAATGATTTCCGGGTGACAATCAATGGTGTCGATCGATGACCACAGATTATGTAACTTGTCGATGACAAATGATGTTCCGTTGTACGTAATTGAACAAAACGCTTAGCTTACTATGAAACTACATAATTATTTTATGACATGAATCCAGTACATAATAAATCAGTATAGTAGTTGATTTGATGTCTACATACTAATTGAATTGAATTACAATTAACAACTATTCAGAAAAGCGTGAATAATTATAGTCTTTTAATACAAAGTCCTTTCATACGTGAAATGAATCGCCATTAGATGCGTTCCAGTGCGTTCTGAAACCATTATTTTAAATCAGCGGAACAGTAACAAAACAAAAATAAAAGTATAACTTTTTTGTGGCTACTTAGAGAAGTAGCTTTTGTGTTTTTTAAGACTTTAAAAAATAAGGATATTTTTCATAAATATGGCATATAGTGACGCCATCGTTTCGTCGTCTGGTACGATTTGACCAGGTTGGTCTTTCCATGCTTTGGGCTATTATTGATAATTTCTTAACAGAAAAACTCATCAGGCCCGACTTGGGATTCGAATCCGAGTCACAAGTTAGTTATTCCTTCATGGGGCAATGTTTACGCATATACAACTGACTCTCAGAAAATATGCAGACCTTATCGTATTAAAGGTTTAAAATATTTAGAAAGCAAAAATTGTTTAGTAAGGAATATATTATACTACTAAACAGTATGTACATGATTTGATAATAACCCCTGGGAATGAGATGATCGCTACCATGCTTTTTAAAATGTTTTCACTAAATAAATAACATATTATATTGTTAATTTATTTTAAAAGTCCCGATGGGTTTCTTGCTGGTTCTTCCCAGGACCGAAGAGGTTTTCTCCGAACCAGTGGTAAAGCTTAAATGACTTTCAATAAGTATTCATGCAATCTATATTGAATAAAAATGATTTTATTAAACTGTACAGATTGCGACCAGCCCCCGAGCGCCCACCAAAGCTATCGCCACTAATCAACGAACTAAACAACTTGAACATGAATTCCCCTAACTCAAACATCGAGGAGCTTAAAACGGACCACGATTACGAGGCCCTGAGCCCGTCTTACAACATGAAGCCGACGAGGCCGGCGCCAGTGCAGCCTCCGAGGGCAATGTCTCCGGTTGCGCGGGCGAAGTCCCCACTGGCGAGTCCGGGACCCACTTCCCCGGCGGCGGCGGGGCGTCGGGAAGGCCCTGCTCCCTTACCCAAGGCGTCTAATTATCAAACCTTAGGAGGGTATAACGGGATGGAGGGGGTCCCGTTTGTGCTTAATCCCAAGCTGAGAGGGTTACCTAGTGATACACTGGTGAGTAGCTGTAAAATTCTTGTACTTTATATGATACTATAGAACTAGTTTTTCTACAGTTTTCAAAAAGGAGGAGTTACTCAATTCGACTGTGTTTTTTTTTATGTGTGTTACCTCATACCTTTGTTCTACGTGAACCGATTTCGATGATTTTTTTATTTGAAAGCTGGTGCCTCTCATGTGGTCCCATATAAATTTGATCAAGGTCTGACCAATAGTTTTTGAGTTATCCTTAATAATATATTATATTGAAGTCGGGTGTTCAAATTTTTTGATTTTAAATTATTTCTCTATAGTTTGTTTGATTATTTATCAGCATAAAAAATTCTGCGTTGGCCACTGGCTTTGTCAAGTTAACCATATAGGCAAAGGGACCTATGCCCATACAGCTTAGTCCGATGTATTTTGTTCACTCAGTTCCATGTATTAAGTTCAATTGAGTAATATTTTATCAACTGTCACAGTTTTTCAAATCATTTAGGATTGATTGGATAAGAGTACCACAAGGCATCGGGAGTGTAAAGCACCCATTACACGCCTAGGCAAGCGTCAATCAGTTCGATTAATCATGATTGATATTTGAATGATAGAATAATTTCGACATTACACGCTCATTCTGACTGATCGTCAGTCAAACCCAAAATTTCAGAGGGAAAGGATGGATATTGATAAAAAAACGCCTGTGCTGCAAATTTGATTGCATTTTGTGTAAAAACGTATAAAAAGAAGGCGTTGGATAAAAGACTGGCTTTTAAAAAGGGATTTCTATACCCATATTAACTTATCGACTGACGTTTTTTATTTCAAAAGAGGATAAAGACTATACAAATTATTTTCGCATGAAAGAGGCTTGTTTTGATAAGTTACTGGTCCTGGTAACACCATATCCAAAAAAAGATACATGTATGCTAAAAGCTCTAAGCTCTAAACTCCTGAAGAAAAGTTGGAGCAACGACGCGTGATGTACGAATTGCCATTACACGTTCAATAAAAATTCGTGACTGATAGTTGATTGACGTAAAAATCAAAAAATCCAGATATTTGGCAATCAATTTCATGCAACCGTCAATCACCGCATTACACGGTAGGTTATACATCAATCACAATCGTGATTGTTGTAAAAATGACAGCAAAACCTACTATGTAATGGGCATCTAACCCTTTCTTTAGGGTGGTCACATTAAATAAATCACGTATAAGAAAGACCGTTTTTGACCGAACAGCAACTGTGTCACAGCTGTGGATTGCGCTGGCGTTGGCTGCGCACGCTAAATATGCCGCGCAGTTGCATTTTGCACGTCGACAAAGTGCGCAAATAAATAATGACAGCGTTTTTTCTTAGTCGTAAAATCAGTGTGAGATTGTCGAAAACAACGTTCGCAATTTACAAAATACAAGAAATAATCATCAAAATCGGTTCAATTAGAAAAAGTTCTGAGGTAGCACACAAAAAAATACAGTAGAATTGAGTCCCCTCCTCCTTTTTTTGAAGTCGACTAACAAAGAACTAGTCTTTTCGCCGGCTCGCAGTCGACTAAAGACGTTACGGATGTGACCGTAACATAGTGTTGATGTATCAAGGCTGCAGAGCCCGTCTAGCAGTTTTTGATGTATAATATATTCTTTATATGTCTATAACAGTCTAGTGCTGGACATTTTCTTACGTGGTAGAAGTGCCTTGCTGCAGCTATATTATGGTTGTAGCAGGAATGAGTCGGCTCGACCGAGGAAGGACGCACATTCTCACAGAATACCAGCGTAAAATAGTAACTTAATGCTGCTGTGTTCCATATGATGAGTGTAGAGAACCAGAGACCCTTTTAACTGGAAACGAAGCGTTCCATTTTAGAGAATACCGATTGACAAGATTTGACAACTCAGTTTTTATCGATTCGCAGGCACAATGGCCCGTGATCAAAAAACGCACACGATTCGAGCTGGACAGGGACTACTCGTACAGTTTCACTGTGGAGCGGCAGACGTGAGCAGAGCGGATCCAGTTAGGTGACGTAGCTTACACGTTGACTGAAACCTAGTGATGATACCACGGGACGAGATATTTATTCGATCTGACGAAAAAATTACAATTAACTACTCTCGACTTTATAAACCATTTACTATATAGATTATAGATATTTTAACACAGTACACATTGTAATTTATTAATGAAAGTTTGTTCAAATCAATTAGTTTTAAATTAAGATTTTATTTTCCGTATCAACTCCAACGCTGTTGTACATTATTTGACATTAACAGATGTCATTTGCCATTCAAATATAGTCATGGTTTATCGTAAATTATTTTTAACCTTTTTACAAATTAAATTATAATCTCTAGATGTATAATAAATATGGACTGTTACGGATATAGGGGTTTATACAACGACCGCCATCTTGATCATCATTTTAAAATGGCGGTTGTAAGTATGTTGTTTGACGTACGTTGCGTACGCGCGGGTGATATAGGATCTATGTATGTATGATCAATCGTATTTGAGTGAGTATTATTGTTGTGACCTCGGTTGAGAAAACCGAACTTAGCATTTACCTTAGTCTAAAAGTCCATTGAATATGTCAATGGACTTTTCTACGCTTTTATCTATATACTTGCAATTAAATTTTTTATTTTTATCAGCATGATTTTGTTTGGACATTCACGTAGACATAAGGTCACGTATTTTGTAAAAAAAAATGTAAAGAATAAGCAATTGTGTAATAGTATACGTTGAAAACACACCATATTAGTACAATGAATTTAGTTTTCTACGGTTTATTAATTGTATTCTGAGAGCAGTCTGTCATAATGTACACATGCATATAAACTATCAATAAACAAATTCTTTGTATAATTTTAGCCACAGTACTAAAAAATTTCGGAAGCAACTTAATCAAAACATTAAGAGCGATAATTTATAACATAATGAAAGTTCTCACCTTGAGGTATATTATTATAGATAAACAAGCAAATATATTATAGCCGTGGCTATGACGTCAAATTCATATTATCAAACATATTATATTTTCTATGTTGTTTGGTTGTAAAGAGGTATATAGCTCCGACAAACATGGTACTATATTAGATATTATATATGTATAATATAATTTAATGGTATTATTATCAAACATATAGCAATTTATGACATATCAGATCTAATTATTACTGTGTATTGAAATAGATGCATAACAGGAACTGTTAAGGTGTCCTTTGGGAAGCTCTGGATGAAGAAAAGACTGATACATAAATTATTCGAGGTTAAAAAAAAACTATTTATGTTGCAAAATCTTCTATTGCATGATTATATTTTATTTGCTTTTTTTATCCCATTGCAATATATTAAACACTTACGAAATATATTGTATACTAATCTTAAAGAGTGCGAACATCATATAAAAAATATGAACTACATTTCAAGAAGCCACTTACCATCGGGGCTAAGTTCGTTTGTCACTTTAGTTTTATAATAAACAAAAGCAGTTTGTTTATTGACAACTATAGAATTAATTTATAAGTAAGAACTTTTTCATACCTTTTATAAAATGGACCGTCGTACGTAGTGATGTAACAACTTCTTTCTTAAATATTAAGCATTTGGAATGTATAGTCATTCAAATATTGTAAAATAATTGTTCTGCGCACGTGCATACAAATTATGTTGAGAAGAGATAAATCTAATATTATCAATTAATATGTCTTTAAAAAAAAATCTCGAATCCATTTTCGGTCACGGCGTCCAGTCTCAGCGGAGACTAGCCATCAGCGCATGACAGGATTATAGTACCAGCGTGTGAGCAATCACACGTGCACTCTCTATTCCTTCATTCCCATAGTGCGACGGTACGGTTATACGACACGACCGGAGAGAGATCAGGTGCAAGACCCACGGGCTATACGTTTTTTTTTTCGGAACACGGGGGTGAAACACCGCCAACTACCTTTTGGGCTGCTACTGCGAATTTGTTGACAGAAAAATGCAATTACTGATTATTGGCCCGATTCGGAACTTGAACCCGGGACCTCATGATCAGCAGCCTCGTTTACGACCCAATAAATACGACATAACAATGTCTTTATTATGGATTATACTGGAACTTTTTTTTAAAAGAATTAATAAGAATTCAATTTTGTAAACTTATTTTGCTTTCAACTCTGGCCTTGGAAGTCTTAGTTCTAGTTGTGTAACTCTATACTGCCAACTTTGCAATTTGTCAATTATTTTTATTATATGTACTACTATTTTAAAGGAAATTAAACTCAATTGTGTTTAAAATAAAGTTGATTGTGCCAATACCAGTACAAGTTTAATAAATTGGGTTACCGGGCGGTTTTTCGTCGGCCAATTTTCACTAGTCGAAATAGATCACTTTTGTATAAAGATTTTTCATAATTCGTGTAAATGTTTTTGGCTCAAATTGTATACAATTTTTTACTACCCAAATTATGTGCTATAATTATTTTTATTGATAAATTAATCTATTTTAATAATGCAATTTCACTAATTAAATGATGTCTAATATGAACTTACACTATAAGTTAAACCGGTTACTTTGTACTATATTTTAACCCCCGACGCAAAATAGAGGGGTGTTATAAGTTTGATTGCTGTGTCTCTGTCTGTCAGTCTGTATGCCTATCTGTGATACCGTAGCTCCTAAACGGGTGAACCGATTTGAGTGCGGTTTTTTTTATTTAAAAGCAGGTTTTCTAGCGGTGGTTCTTAGAAATAATTAATCCAAATCGATTCAGCCGTTTCAAGGTCATCAGCTGTTTAGTTAGCTGCGGTAGGGTTCCTTTCGGGGGTTTTTAAAATATTTAAGTTATCTACACTTGACTAAGCTATTATAAAATGCATTGTATAATATATCCAACTGCATATTATGCTCAAGTTTAATTATAATTGGGAATAGTTTATATGCAGTTGGGTAAATTGTTAAAACTGTCATAATATACAAGATTTGTCAGTCAGTTTATTAGGAATATTTTAACGCAGTGTATAAAATTAATGTTAAAATAAATTAACGATAATTATTATGCACTTCTGTTTCCTGCATTGATGCACTGAGCAAAGATAATTTTGTCAAAAAGTTCTAAAAATCGCAACTTTTGGCTCGTGACTATCTTGAATGTTTTGTAACATCTACCCTTCTTAAAGTTGCCTTATACTTTACGTAACTGCCTGTTAGTGATAATTTTGCCCAATGTTGCAAAAACTGTTATGGCACATGAATCGCCTTTATCTATTAAAGTTAGATTGTTTTATTGTTAAATAGCAAATTTAAAGGTTTATTTTACCACAAAACTTACTGTAATTTTGTTTTATGAAAATTTATTCTAATTGACTACTCTGTGTAAATATGTTTTAAGTAATGCTCTTATAATAGTTACTTAGAAATTACGCTTTTTATACGTATCCGGTAATTATTGTTTAGTATTATGATGGAGAATAAATTAAATTATTGACTTGGTTTTTTTTTGTCCGCCATTTAAGTCTAATAATCAATTATGTTTAGATGGTTGGCCAATTCACCGCCGTGCAAATTTCCTGTCATGCACGAATAGTAAAATCCACTGTCACCAGAAAATAATCCGGATCAATACAACTTGAAACCTTCAAGAAAATGGGCCTGCTTTTTACTAAGTCAATCTGAGCCTGATGGTGTTTACTTACCATCAGGCGAAGTCAGATAAGAATATCAAGGGTTTTGTTACATATTAAATATTTGGCGATTGAAAGCGGCGTTTAAAGGTGCTAGACATCTGGTAGTGCAATCGTGAAGAGATTCAAAGTGGCAAATTTTATGAAGTAGGTCATTTTCACAATTGACCTAGTTTTTCAAAAAAGGTTCAAATTTTTGTTGGCTGGTATTACCTATTATTGGAGAACTTCTGAATAAAATAACGTTCACTGTTAGCCATAAAATGTTGCGTCGCAGTTCCCGGACAAATCACTTCTGGACTTTAAGATAATAAATCTAAGAAAAATTATACGCATTCTATTTGCAAATGCGTGGCTTCAGTTCCTTCTAGAGAACACTATATGCAACAGGTAAAATTGCAACTATTCAAGAGGATCATAATAAATATAATAAAAAAACGCTAAAGTTTTCAACATCGAACAAAAATAAATTTATTACAAAATCCGTACACAATGTTTCCTTTAATTTACTTCCGCTTACGTTACAAAAACACTTATATCAAGAACTCGTAAATATCGTATTTAATGTATTCAGCAATAAGTATTTAATTATTAAAAACAATCTGAAAACGCCCCTGTCACTCATATTGAGACATTTTTTTAAAAGCGTTATAAAAGAACCATGTTTTCTAAGAGTAATAATTTGCCTGTAAAAACTATGATATGAATATAGATTTAATAATTTTTATTTATTTAAAGCAGGTGAATTCTGTTATTAAAACATTCCAGAGTCCAAAGCATAACTCAATCCTTCAGGACGCGCCCCACCCTCTCTTGATCGCATGTAGTGCTAGTGTGCAATGTTTATAATTATATATTATTAATCTTGAGCAATTTGTTAGTGCTTGTTCTATCGCTACGCACTACCACAGTTTAAATAACTTACAGTTGGAAAACCAATGTATTTGCTCTGCGCCCTGTGGGCAGGCGGGCGACCGTGCGGTTACCACGATCGTTTAACAGTACTTATTTAACTGATATTAAGTGCAGTTTTTGAAAAATATAATATCTATAACGGTGAATTAATGTTATAGTTAAATGAGTTACTAAGTAAAATTGAATTCAAATAACTGCCATGCTCATATTTCCTAATTTTTATTTTGAGAAAATTGTTTATCCGAATACACTACATAATAAAACTTAACAATCGAAAACTGAACACGTCTATAAAAAGAAAGTGTCACGAAAATATTTATTTGGCAGTGCAACACTTTTAAATGTTTTTTCTTGTAGTGAAAAAATTATCTTGTTCGATAAATATTTGTTTTAACTTATGTGTGTACATAATGTTAATAAATGATAATGAGTATTATAAAATATCCAAAATTATTTTATTTCCGTTTTCGTGACAACCGGTAGCACACTCGCTGGCCGCGTCAATAGCTACGCGGGTGGCAGTATCGCCTGACATCAAAAGCGTTTCACAACTGTAAGTTCCAAACTACTACTTTAGACTATGTGGATAACCGCACCCAAATATAAATTGGGTAGCAATAGAACAAAAACACTCATAGCTCATTGCACATTTGCACAGTGTGGTATTAAAGAAAAGAGTGGGGCGCGTCTTCGCAAAATGAAGTATCTATAGTATAGTATTAGTAATAGCATATAAATAAATATTTACTAGACAGATGAGAACTATCTTTGATTTCACATATTATAGTTTTATTTAATTAGCAGTTTCCACAATTCGGAATAAACATCAAGTCAACATTAAATAATCATGTTATGGTTCGGTTTGTAATTAAAATGAAAACTCACGCAGAAGAACAGGCCAAATAAGGTCGGGGAGTAAAATTAGGATCAAATATTGTAAGAGTTTTGAAATAATTTATGGTTACATTAAAGCATTGACACCCATATATACATACATACGCACCATAACTGGCATCGAGGACTAAAAACAAATATTAGACGTATTTTATAAATAAAAAAAAAGAGACTTAAAATGCATTTACTATGAACTGGGTGATCAATTAATTGGAATTCACTATCGCAATGTAAATACTAGAGTTAGCCGCGAAATTATTGTATTGTCATTGGTTCTGAATATGTCTGTAAAATTTCAGATTATTCGGACGTTCGGAAGTAGGTGAATACTAAATAATAGAATTCCATTACTACAATTCATACCTACAAACAGAACAACTGTTATTATGAACTGAACTAGTAAAATAAAATACATACGCGAATAATGATTATATAAAACATTTTTAATCAACATTTTATAGATATTTACGAGTAAAATTCAAACACACATTTTTGCGTGCTATGTGGCAGTTCTGAATAACAACATTTAACACTACGTGTATATCACTTAAGCACACGTTTAAAGTAATGCCAAAGAAATGAGATAATGAACGTACACTGATAGTTACATTCCGTACCTGCTCTCGTATGCAATATTTAACGGTACAAGGGCCTGTTTAGGTTATCATTTCACCTGCTATTTTGTGATAAACAAAAGACACACCCAAATACGCTTTTTTCTGATTGAACTTGTTTGATTGAGTGATTCGGAATCAAGAGACTAGGTTACCTAATGTCTATAAAAATAACTGGTATATGTTAGTTTTAAATTTGTATATATTATTTACTACACAGTTTAATATTTATCGGCATTTTAAATTTTGATTCAAATTATTAATACACATATTTTTGCACCCCTATTTTTATTTTTTATTTTTATATCACTTTGTTTTCATTCCTTATACCGGTTCAATGGCATTGCTTTAGTGTAACTTCCATCAATTGTATTTTAATTTGCTTTTTTTCTGCCTAACAGTTTTTATTTTCGCATTTTTGATAAATACACCTGTATAACATATGCAACAACTGCTGAATACGGTACAAAAATTTACTATTCTATTCTATTACCAACTTACCATTTATCAACAATTATTTAATACAAAATTTTACAATTTCACATTCTTACAAATTTATTACAACAAATGAATTTTAAATACATTTATACAAATGCCGCTGCGTATCAGGTAACAGTGAATATTGTTTTTTCTATTAAACATTTTAAGTCGATTCACATTGGGGCAAACTTTACAGAGTTAATGCGATTTAAACATATACATTCGTCTTATCCAACCAACACATTGACGTAGGAGGCATTTAGCATACTAAGATTTTCATCCAACATTTTATCGTCTCCCGCCCATCAAGTCGCGGGTCAGTAGCAGAGTCACTGCGGCGTTGACGGTTGTTTCATCTGTTTCTGTTGCTCCAAGAGTCTTTCGAGAGGAGAGGGGCCTGGACCGGACCACAATGACTGAAAGAAAGGTTTCATTTAGCAACTTTAGTCTTGCTTTCTAACAAATAGAGACTGAACAAGTAAAAAAGACATTATTGGTACTTAAACATACATACTAAGAATATTTCCAAATAGTGTATATTTATTGCAATGAGAGTATTTTTATTGCACAATAAATACAGCTTTTCATTACAGCAGGTTCAGCTAAGATAACATTCTACGATCGTTAACATTATAAAAAACTATAAAAATGTCATTCGTTTTTATAGTTTTTCAACTGAACATTTAATTTTAAAATGAATGACATATCTGAATGTCAAGTCACGTGACAGACATTTGATTTGTCGTTGATCTTTTAATGTAATTTTCACCAACTTGTAGATGATTGACTTGAAAATTTGCATCATCGTATCATCAATCATGCACCGATGACAGTACAATAAATTAATAACTTTATCCTTATTATATATTACAACAATAATTACTAAAATAAAATAATTATCAGGATCATCACAGCTCAAGATCAATGCGTGTTGTTTAAGTTTTTTTTTAAACTGTTATATTATTATTATAGTTTTCTATAGCGATAAGAATAGTTGAATGTCAACTTGCTAACCCCGCAGGTCTAAACTAAATAATTTAGAAACGACTATTTTTGAAATTAGACGAGTTTTCACGCCATCCACAGGGACAGTTAGCCGACGTAACCATATTTTTAACATTTACCTTAGTTAATTAATAGATAGATTACATCAGGCGTTACTTTGCGGAAATGAATTATATTAAAGTCGGAATTTTGTTTATTTTGCCTATATCCGTTAAATAAAATGTTGATGTATTATCGCCGGTGGTGCGTCTTGCCTAGTGTAGTGGTGTTAGGAGTAGCGGTGCTGGGATTAGTGGTGACGGGGATGGCGCACGCAATTGGGGGAGGGCGGGAGGTGCTCTTCAAACTAGGTAAGACACGTCATTTTATTTTATTGAGCAAATATTGGCAAAATAAAAAAAATCCAATTTTAATTTACCTTAGTCGCATTTTTCGTCATTCACAGAACGGGAGTGATAACTTTCAGGGCGGCGCCATACAATATAAAAATGTAAATAGCAGCGTCATTTAATAGTGGAAAATTAAATTGTCTCAGAAATATAAATCTCAACACATGTCAATATTAATAGATGTTATTTGTGTAAGTGACTTCGAGTCTTCTGATGACTTCTTCTGTAATCTTGGTTGCAAATTTTTTCTATTAAATCCTTGATTCTTTATTAACAACAAACGATTAGTCACTGAGTAAAATACTTATAATCATTCATTATCTTATTAATCAACTTCTGATGTAAACGGTTTCCGACATAATAAGTAATATTTCTATGTTAATTCTATAATACCGAAACTGATTGGTATGTTACTTTTCCCTAAAATTGAATTATTGTCGAGGTACCAAAAAATATTAATCATGAAAATACTAATTGTGAATTCTTCTATGGAGAAGTTGATTATGATGGTATGTCGTGATCTAGAATGGATTACTTTATTTGAGCCAATTTTGATCCGGCTTCAAGGATCATATATCTTTATATCTTTCATTAAAAATATAAAATTTCCATATATAGAAAAACATGAATGTGGGGGGAAACTTTGAAGATTCAAACTTTTTCCATACCTGATGCAGATGTCTTTGGGCCCAAGCGGCGGGGTCAGGTGCGGCGCTGAACAATGAGTACGTATTACCGGTTGATGAGCTTGTAGCCTCGCGGGTCTGAAAATATGTTTAGTTTGTTTATTATCGCATACATCGATATTATTACATCCTATAAAAAGTATTTTGAACTATTCTAAGGCCGCGCTTAGCTACAATTCCACCTGATGGTAAAAGTTCTAACAAAAGCCTATTTACTCTTGCCTTGAAGACACGCACATTGTAATCGGATGGAAAGACAGATGCTGGCAACTTATTCCACAGCTTTGCTAAACGCATCACAAACGATATAGCAAACTGTTTGTTACATTTTAATGCGTGGTAATTCGACAACGAAAGGGTGGAGACTGATCGAGCGTCTGGTTGTCCAAAGTAAGGGAGAGGGAGAAATTAAGTTATGCAATTCCTGCGAACACTCCAAAATGCATCCTGTAGAAAACCGAAAGGCTCCCTCATAAATTGCCTAGTAGGAGGATATTTACAATAGTTGCCAAACTTGGCATGCGGGTTGGCAAACGTAGTTCTTTTATTAATATTAAGTTGTGAGGGAACCCGTTTTACTGGAAATGAGGCATTTCATCTTAGTCCTCAAGGATGACAATGCATCTGCATTTTGATCCTTAATCAAGGATAGATGTATGTCTATGGGCCACAACGTCCGCATATTATCAGGTGGACTCTGTGCTCGTTTGTCACTCGTTATCCTATAGAAAAAAGTTTCAGTGACTTTTTTTTTCCAATCAGTCAGTACTTATTTTCACTTTAACTACTTTAACAAAAGATCTTTTTACGGGGACATTAAATTTCACATATTATAAATTTAAAGCGATTGTTTATCGGCAATAAATGCTGTTGAATTTCTTGACTCAAATTGTGTATTATTCCCTCACCTGATACATAATTTATAGCATAATATATTTATAGCAGAACTGCAGGCATTAGTCACGTGTATGAAAGAGGAATGTGAAATTAAAGGTCTCCGTTTGAACGCTAATAAAACTAAGGTTCTGGTATTTGTATACTTGGGGAGTGCTTTTAGCCGGGATGGAAGATGTGATTTAGATGTGGACAGGCGTGTCGCTGCCGGGAACAAAGTCAATGGTGCCCTGTCTGCGTTAGTCAAAAGGCAAGGCGTAGTGAAGAGTGCACGCCTTGCAATACATAACGCAGTGTTGGTACCGACTTTGTTATATGGCAGCGAAACCTGGGTATGCCAGAAGAAGCATAAAAGCAAGTTGAATGCAGTGGAGATGCGATCTCTTCGTAAAATGTGCGGCGTTACCATGGCCGACCGAAAGCGAAACGAAGAGATTCGCAATATGGCAGGTTTGAAAGATGACCTTATCACAAAAATTGATAAGGGCGTGCTTCGGTGGTTTGGGCACGTTGAGCGAATGAGTGAAGACCGAATGGTGAAGAAAATATATAGCGTGAAAGTTAATATTAAAAGGTGTCGAGGTAGACCGAGACTAACTTTCGAAGACCATGTGAGCAAATTGCTCGAAGAGGGTAGGGTCAAGAGTACTCGGATACCTAGACGTGCATGTATGAAGAAGATAATGAATCTGAAAGAAGCGAAAGAGGTATGTAAGGATCGTGACACTTGGCGATCTGTTCTCTCTGGCTACCCCGTCAGGGATTGTGCGTGAAGATAAGTATAATATTAATAACAGAATTAATATATTTTAATACAAACTAACCTGTTCCAATGAATTAGCGGCACTGACATCTTGATTTAGGTTGTTATTAAAGTTCAGATTCCTTTGCTGCAATTCCATAATATTCGAGCTGAAGTTGAGCGACTCATCAGTCTCTTTACCCTGGTACTGCTTGTCCATCATCTTCATCTGCACCGGCTGGTATCCAAGTTTGTTGTTAAACTGGGGATACATCGAGGAATCGTATCCAACGCTAGGCGTGTACGTTCCAAAGCTGTTCAAAGAGGCATTGAAATTGGGAGAGGTGACTAAGTTCTGCAGAGTTGGCATTTGTGTTTGGCCAATCGTCGGCCAATTTGATCCAATATTGTCCGGTTTACTCTGTCCTACTTGGTTATGGTTATACGATAAATTCAGGTAAGGATTTGGCGTGTTGGACGAAACATGTGGGGAAAAGAAGTTAGGCTGCACATTCATGGTTGGAGTGGAGAAGTTTGTATTGTATACGGGCGGGTTTTCTGGCTTCCACCAAGTCAACGGCTGCTGGTATTCAGGTTGGGGATTTGACCAGTTGCGTTGGGGTTGCTGCTGTTGTTCAAATGTGTTGTTTTTAAAACTATCGTCTCTAAACTTGTTTTCATTGGCCTGATTCTCTTGAGCATTCTGCCAATATCTGTACTGGTTTGCGAAACGCGGTGGAAGGTCATTCAGGAAGTTCTTCTTGTCCCCTGACATTTGGTATCCATGGTTCGTGAATTTATGCCCTTCTTGGAATAGCTCTGGCCGGGAGTTCTGCTTTTGAAGTGCAGCTGTCCTAACATCAATCTCTTTTGGGTTGACCACGGGCAGCCGTATACCCTGGCCAAATCCTGGAGCACCTTGGTAGTTAGGATTGTAGCTAATTCCCGTGTTTTGGATGCCATAGTTCTTCTGAAAGCCCATGCGCGGTTCGTTAAACGGCTGAGCTGGTATATTGGTCCAATTGCTTTGAGGTGGGGGCTCCTGCCACTTCTGTTGATATCCTTGGGAATTTTGGCTGGTACCTTGGTTGGGTTTGGGTTCTTTTTTCTCTTCCTTATCAAGTTTTTTGGGTGGCTCAGGGTCAGTATTTACCAAATGAGGGTACCCAGCTGATTTATCTTTGAGTGAAAGAATGCCACCAGTTTTTCTGCCAATAGGTAAGTTGCTAAGAGACTTTATGGCTTTTGGTTGGATAACTTTAGGCTTATCTGCTTCTTTTGTAGCAGACTCACTAGCATCTGCAGTTGAATCTGGCGTTGGTGGTGGTGACACAAATTTCACCTGAAATTAATTATATACAATTAATATTATGGCGTGTTGAAAATGTGTATGTGGTTGTGTATGTGACCACATAGAGCCATGCTGCAGCTATATTATGGTTGTAGCACGAATGGTTCGGCTCGACCGGGGAAGGACCACGCTCTCGCAGAATACCAGCGTAAAATAGCAGCTTAACGCTGCTGTGTTTCGTATGGTGAGTGTAGAGAACCGGAGACCCTTTTTACTGGAAAAGAGGCATTCCATCTTAGTCCTCACGGGTGACAACGCATCTGCATTTTGATTCTTAATCGAAGATAGATGTAGATATCTATGGGCCACAGCAACCACTTACCATCAGGTGGACTGTGTGCTCGTTTGTCACCCTTATCCTATAAAAAAAATGTGGGTGGTAAAAGAAGCGATAGAAGCAAAATAATAAAATTGCCATCTCGTCTGCCAAGAGTGACAATTGTGGCAAATATCCCTATGAGGCAATCATTGTTTTTCAGTTTTAGAGGTAGTCGATTATATAACAAAGCAAACAAATTACACCGTATCATTAACAAATTTGAATGTAAAAAGAAAATTTCAGATTGGCTGCTTAAACTTGATTATGAAAAAACAGAACAATTACTGCAAATCGCATCTTAACATACCCACGTACGAGTTAACACACACACACACACACACACACACGCATACACACACACACACACACACACACACACGCACACACACACGCACACACACACACACACACACACACAGACACACACACAAATGGGGAGCTGGGAGATCCATAGCACAGGGTATCCTAGTTGGACTCCCGTCTCCCACAAATTTATGCACTCTTTGTTTTGTTTATAAAAAAATATATAAGTTTTTAAAAGATAAAATATGCAATGTACAATTTGTGGGAGAAAATAGTAAAGGTTTATTTTATTTATTTTATTGGCGACGGCTTATGTTCAGCATTGGACTTTTGATAGTTTGTAATGTTATTAATATTTCTGTAAATATTTATCGGTAATTTTTATGAACAATATTCATTTTGATAGTAATGGTCCCTCGAGCCAGATGTAGTTTTTTTTTACGCGTTTAAAGATATAGCTGTTGACAACCGCGTGGCGTGGTTAGTGTAGTATTCTAGGCTCTATTCCCGTTGGAGCCAACAAAAACAAAAATTATTGCCTTTCGAGTCTGGATGACGTGTGACTGTTGTCTCGAACTCAAGATAAGGACTTACTTCCGCAGCGATAATATTATTTAATGTCATTAGCGGTTGGTAGCTTCAAATTCTTTTTCCTTTTCATCAGCCCGTACAAGACCACTGTTGGACCTGGATTTCGCCCATTGTTTGGAGGGTTAGCCTTAATAGCCACGATGGCAGGCGGATCGTCGAACTCAGTACCTTTGACGCTCGTAAACGATTAGGTTATACCGCCATTTATCTGCAGCCAAAAGTTTTTTTTTAACATTTCTATAGTCTTACGACACCTATGGGACACCTATGGGTCAACACACGGTAACTTTAACTTACGTTAATTAATTTAGCAACACAAAGTTGCACTAAGGTTTTCTACTTGAATTCAAAGTGTTAAGAAGTAACTTTGTGGCGTTCCTTGGGGCAGGCCTATGTTCAGCAATGGACATGTGAATGTGATATATTATGTCATATATGTAATACTGCATACATAAAAATCAATTGCCGTCCGTTATTCTCACAAAAACTCGAAAATGGCTCGTCTGATTTAGATGATTTTTTTTCGTATATCTGAGTGGGTCCTTGGGTGATCTAAACGATTCACAATTGGATCCGGTAGGTGGCGCTGTTGACGAGATCCAGAAATCACTCGTGTGAAGAAGGGGCGTATCACTAGTATTTTAATAAACATAAATAATATACAGTTTCGGAACATTGCTTAGTGGCAAATCAATGCTCCTTATGTATGTTCCATGTGTAGTAGCTAGTAGCTTTATTTGTTTTATTCAAATTGTTACACGTTAGACATTTACTCGAATTAATACATAGTTAAAATTCCATATATTTTTTGGTATATAATAAGAACACTACCTTCAGAGAGACCCACAACAATTATGACATGTGAAGTGCTGTAATGATGATGATAATGATGAAGTGGCGAATAATTATTAGAGTAAAAGATGATTTAATTTACACGACAAATATGAGTTATTAAAAAAAAATAAACCTGTTTGTTAGTCTCCTCCTGCTTGCGCATGATCGCCGCCATGGCAATATTAACGCGTGGTTTGCGCGCTTCTTTCCTGTCTTCACCCTTGCCACCATCTTCTTCAGCCTCCTGAATTAAATTGTACCGTTAATACATATCATAATAGACATATTATGTTTTTTTTTTATAGGATAGGGTGACAAACGAGCACACAGTCCACCTGATGGTAAGTGGTTGCTGTGGCCCATAGACATCTACTTTATCCTCGTTTGCGAAACTAAATGCAGATACGTTGTCACCCGTGAGGACTAAGATAGAATGCTTCTTTTCCAGTAAAAAGGGTCTCCGGTTCTCTACACTCACCATACGAAACACAGCAGTGTTAAGCTGCTATTTGACGCTGGTATTCTGTGAGAGCGTGGTCCTTCCCCGGTCGAGCTGACCCATTCGTGCTACAACTATACCATTAATGTAGCTGCAGCATGGCTCTACCACGTAAAAAGTGATGGTTACTCTCCGTATGAAACTGGCCGCCGTGACCGAAATTCGGTCGGAAGACATTATTATTATTATTAGGCTATATTTTACTATTGATTCGTAATCGAGGATTGATGTAGATTTCTATAGGCCACAGCAACCACTTACCATCAGGTGGACTGTGTGCTCGTTTGTCACCCTATCCTATAAAAAAACTAAAAAAAACTTATTTTTATTGACCCCGGATTCGAACCTTGATTTCGAACACTACACGTGGAATAAAACTAATTTTACGAATTTTATCGCGTTTAATTTTAACTTTTTTAATTAACGACGTTTCAAACACCTCAGTCCCCTCCGTGACTATGGGTGCCGTGAAATGTCCGAAACGTCGGGAATTAAAAAAGTTATAAAGAAACGCAAAAATAAAACCGTAAAATTTTGGTTTATTCCATCAGCATTTGGGTTTACGAACACTAGCCCAAAGAGGCAGTTTGCGGACTAAAATATAGCCTACATTAAAAGAAAATACTTGGTTGTATTAATATGAAATACATCTTCACCTGGTCATCTTGTGTAGTGGCGAGAGCTCGTTCTTCCCGGGCGCGCTCCAACGAACCCTGCGGCTTTAAGATGCCCACGCGCTTCTCACGAACTGGACACAATAGAGACTGATGGAAACTTTGTTTTACGTGGAGAGCCATGCTCCGACCATGCGAGCCATGGTTCGACCGAGGAAGGATTTTATTTTTATAGGATAGGGTGACATACGAACACACAGTCCATATGATGGTAAGTGGTTTCTGTGGCCCATAGGCATCTCTAAATCTATCCCCAATAAAGAATCAAAATGCAGATGTGTTGTCACCCGTGAGGACTAAGATGGAATGCCTCTTTTCCAGTGAAAAGGGTCTCCGGTTCTCTACACTCACCATACGAAACAGCAGTGTTAAGCTGCTATTTTACGCTGGTATTCTGTGAGAGCGTGGTCCTTCCCCGGTCGAGCCGACCCATTCGTGCTACAACTACACTACTAATAAAGCTGCAGCATGGCTCTACCACGTATAAAACCACGCTCTAGCACAATACCAACGTGAAATGACAGAATAATGCTGCTGTGTTTCGTAAGGTGAGTGTAGAAAACACAGGGGACGTTTTTATTGGTAAGGAGGTATTTCATATTAGTCCTCAGCGGTATAACCCATCTGCATTTTGATTTTTAACTAAGGATAAATGTAGATGTCTATGGGCCACAACATTGCACGGTTTTCCAATTACCGGCACGGCACCGGCACGGGGATAACTCCCACCGGTGCCGGCGCCGGTGCCGTGACGGCAAGCTTCCCACTCGTTGCCGGCCGGCAAAACTGCATGTGTATTGTGCACGTATTGCAGCCGTGTGCGTGCGTGCATGTGAAGTAGAAGGGACGCGTTGAGTATGAGACTCGAAATTGACTTGTGAAATGATGAAATGTCTCCTCGTTCATGCGGAAGTAGGGAATAATATGTTCCTTCTAAGTATTTCATTTTTAAGATTGGATGAATTGACTTCTCTACGTTGATTGTATTTTCATCTTAAATGCAAGAGAATAACAAACAAACACGACGACTTGACGAGACCATTTTTACGTGCTTTAGAACTGAAGTATGTGTTAGTTCTGCCCAAAAACTGAGCATAGAAAGGCAACGGCAACGGCATCGGCGCAATGGAAAAACGAAGTCAAGGCGCCGTCGCCGTGCACAACCGACTTCAATATAAATTAATAAGAATAACTCAAAAACTATTGGTCAGACCTTGATTAATCTCAAATTAAAATCAAATTTATATGGGACCACATGTGACGCACCAGCTTTCAATTAAAAAAGAATCATCGAAATCGATTCACCCAGTACAAAGTTATGAGGTAACACACATAAAAAAAACATACAGTCAAATTGAGCACCGTCTCCTTTTTGAAGTCGGTAGATAATATTTTGAGTACTACATTAACTGGGAACCAAAGACTTCTATGTGTACTAATGAATCGGCAATTTAGAACAAAAATGGTGTCACAGTCGCGGAGTACACGTGTGAAGCAGGCACGGTAAATATGCCGCGCAGTTGTATTTTCATTAACGACAGTTACAGTTTTTATGCAAATAAGAAATAAATTTACACACTTATCTCAAACAAACTTCAAATCACGTTGACAAAGTGCGCACTTAAATAATGACAGCGTTTTCTTTTTCATATTAAACTTTTTAGTTACATTAAACAAAGGCACCGCGGCGCAGTGGCTTAGCAAGGAGTTGCAGCGCTGGTGGGCCGCGGGTTCGATTACCGCACGGAACAAGTATTTGTATGGCCTACAAATAATTGTGCCGGGTCTGGATGTTTGTCCTTGTGCAATTTATGTTTATAAACTACCTCCACGGTACAGGAGAAATTCCTAGTGTGGGAGTAACGTTTTTTTTAACGATTGTCGAATACAACTTTCGCGGTTTACAAAACAAAGAGAACTAGTCTTCTCGCTCGCTCGCAGCCGAGTAAAGAAGTAACGGAGAAATGATACTACCGTCTAGTAGTAAACATAAAAGTCTTTGCTGAAAATGGAAAGAGTTCTGCTTTTTGCTGGTAACCCCCCCCCCCCTTTCCCCGCTACGACTACGTTTATAGTTTTCAGCCTTACCTTTCTCCCTAAAATCAGCTTCGGATATAATAACGGGCGGCGGAGGTGGCGGTCGCTCATCTTCGCTATCTTCCAACTCGTCGGCCGACCCGTCGCCCGATGGTTCCGATTTCGCGACCATAGACAACTCCGCTAAAGCGCGTGTTAGTTGTTCGCCGCCGGATGTAGTCGCCGTGAACGTTATAGAGCCGTCTTCTTGTCTGTTAAGTGTTAATGATAATTTTTTATAGTATAACGAGTGACAAACGAGCACACAGTCCACCTGTTGATAAATGGATACTACGGCCCCTATACATCTACATTTACGAGGGCTGCACTAAAAGTATCGGGAATGGAATATTTCCACTGTTCCTGTCATATTAAAATCTTTTTAATTGAAAATTTTTTCTCACAAATGGTATACGATTTTTAAATTCTCTTGATTTTAAAAATCGTATACCATTTATTTATTTAAAAAAAGATTCTCGGTCTTGTCACAAGGTTTTGTCAAACTTGTTTAGTCGTTGTTAAAATGGAATTGACTCGAGAAAATTCAAGAGCGATGATTTATTATGACTTTCGAAGTGGTTTAACACAAAAACAGTGTGTTGACCGGATGATTTCTGCATTTGGTGAGGAAGCCCCATCCAAAACCACAAGTTATCGCTGGTTTGCTGAATTTCAACGTGAACGTGTCAAGCTCTGTGATGATCCCCGTCAAGGTCGTCCAAAAACTGCAGTCACCCAAGAAAACGTTGATGCTGTGCGTAAGGTGATTGAGGAAGATCGACATGTGACATACCGCGAAATTCAGGCAACTTTAGACATTGGCATGAGTCAAATACAAATAATCTTGCATCAACAATTAGGTGTAAAAAAGTTGTTTTGCCGATGGATATCGCATTCGCTCCGTGAAGAGCAAAAAGCGGCTCGCGTTACTTGGTGCGTCAGAACTCTCGAAAGATTCCACGCAGGATCCTCAAATGCTGTATACAACATCGTATCAGGTGACGAATCCTGGATATACGCGTACAAACCCGAAACAAAAAACCAGTCACGAGTTTGGGTGTTCGAAAATGAGTTAAAGCCAACAAAAATTGTTCGTTCACGGAGTGTTGCAAAAAAAAATGGTGGCCACGTTTGTCTCCAAAACCGGCCATGTTACGACTATTCCTCTTGAGGGACAAAGAACGGTTAATGCAGAATGGTATGCTAACATTTGTTTGCCACAGGTCGTTTCTGAACTCCGTAAAGAGAACTGGAACCGCCGCATCATCCTCCATCACGACAATGCGAATTCTCACACCGCACACAGAACAAAAGAGTTTTTAGAACAAGAAAACATAGAATTATTAGACCATCCACCGTACAGCCCCGACCTAAGCCCTAATGATTTCTATACTTTCCCTAAAATAAAGAACAAATTGCGTGGACAGAGATTTTCATCACCTGAAGAAGCTGTGGACGCCTACAAAACGGCCATTTTTGAGACCCCAACTTCCGAATGGAATGGTTGCTTCAAAGATTCGTTTCATCGTGTGGAAAAATGTGTCAAATTTCGCGGAGAATACTTCGAAAAGCAATAAATACATTTTTAAATAGTAATGTTGTGTCACTTCCTTGATTCCCGAAATTTTCAGTGCCGACCTCGTATCCTCAATTAAGAATCAAAAAGGGAGATGCGTTGTCACCCCTGAGGTCTAAGATGGAATGCCTCGCTTCCAGTAAAATGGGTCTCCGGTTCTTACACTCACCATACGAAACAGCATTATGCTGCCATTTTTTTTTTGCACGAATATCCTTATCGCACGGTACGAGTTTGACGGATGGGGGCTAGGCGAGAAAAAGTGTAAGATTTTTCCGTCACAACCCCTTTTCTATTGTTCGAGCGATAAGGAATAATATCCATCTTTTTCGCACTTTTTTATTTACTAATTTTAGTATCTCTATAACATCGTTGCCAAAATCAATGGATCGGATCCAAAGCTCAAGTCAAGATTTGTACAAAGGCACACATTTCGAGTATTGGGTGGTCGGTGATTGGTTACTGATCACAGTGAGTCCGCGATAGTTAATAGGATAGGCGGCGGATCAGGCGGTGATTTGCAGATAGTCATTACATTGATTCTATACAACCTATCAAAAGCCCACCGCTGAACATAGGCCTCCACCATAGATTGCCTCATAGAGGTATTTGCCATATTTGTCACAAAAACGGATTGGCAACCGTATCTTTTTATTTTTAAATTGTTATCAGGAAGACATGGCGAAAATACACAATGTAGACTTATTTAACACCTCTAGCAGGCAACTTAAGCGTCTACTGAGCAATAAAGTTTTTCGTTTACTGATGTGTATTACACATACCATGTATTGTTATTTATTTCATTTTACTTCTCAAATCATCTTTTATTATGTAATTGAGTCTTCGTCTATGTTATAGTAAGGCCGCTGAGTTATCACCGATTTGACAGATTATTCTTAAATTAATCGATATAACCTTGCACGAGCGACACATTTGCCGAATGATTTAGAATACCTCTTTAATATAAAACTTTATGTCAAAATGTCAGAATCAAGTAATTTTCCAATAAACTCTGTTTCAAAACTTAAAATAGTTTGTAAATAATATGAAAACATTTAATTTTTTGTTCTTTGGCGCGCTTGTACAAAGTTACATCGTGCGTCTAGTTTTCATAGTGATGTGTGATAGTATTCGGTCCGAATTCATTGGAATAGATATGATATTTATTTTATTTGGATATTTTTATTTTACTTATTCCTTCGAGCAACTAGACTATAATGCTACCATTTTTTTGCGTCTCCTAATTGCACTGTGTTGCCAAAGACAGAAATACTGTTTTCTATGATTTAAAAATAAATACAATTAAAATGATTATGTATAATTTTTAACATTCATAATATATAAAACAACATTTAATAAATATAATTTTCTCCCTCAATTAAGCAATGTTATAGGTGTATTTTTTTAAGTAATTGGCGATACTATTCTGGCAACACCCTTACCACCGCTATTTTAATCTGTTTAGTCGTCTTTCGTACTCTCGTGCGCACAGACTACGTTCTCTTGTGTAACCGTTGTTTTTTGACTCGGCTTTCTCCTGTTTATCGTTGCGCTTTATTGGACTAATTTTGTTTGTGTTTGGTAATTTTGTTGAAAATGCCGAAACGAGGAAAAACATTGAATAGTCAATGTCGTGAGCTTGTACTAAATCTACAGGATTACTTTGAGCGTGAGTCACAAAATGATGGCCCTTTGATTCCAGTCACTCAAGTGAAAGATCGGGTTTTACAAGCTCTTGGAATTGGTGCAAAAACACTATATAATATAAATAAAGAAAAATTTGGTGCTTCTGGAAGTGAAGATAATGTTTTACGCACTCCTAAGAAAAAACGAAGACAAAAGCCAGTGACAGGTGTTGATGTTTTTGATGCAGATGCAATAAGAAACCACATATATGGTTATTATACTAGGAACGAGTTTCCAACTAGACGTTTGCTTTTGGTCTCTTTAAAAGAAGCTGGCTTGTTTAAAGGCGGTAAAACGGCGTTGTCAAAACTATTGCACGAAATTGGGTTTGAATATAAAAAAACGAATAAAAGGAAAATATTAATGGAAAGATTTGATTTAATAATTAAAAGGAGCAAGTTTTTAAGAGAAGCCAGAAAAATCGAGTCTTGGGACAACGTCGTTTTTGTTGACGAAACATGGTTAAATGCGAACCACACTGTGTCATGCTCTTGGACTGACGAAACAAAAGCATCAACCTCAAAGGTTCCAATTGGAAAAGGATCGCGACTGATAATTTGTCACGCCGGTTCTGCTGGAAGTGGTTTCTTTGAAAATGGACTGCTGGCTTTCGCGTCAAAAAGTACTTCCGATTACCACGAGGAGATGGATACAGACACTTTTACGAATTGGTTCGAAAATCAATTATTACCCAGCCTGCCAGAGCCTTCTATCATAATAATGGACAACGCTTCATATCACTCGAAACAAGTGAATAAAGCGCCTACTCAGGCCGACAAGAAAGCTGATCTCGTAGCATGGATACACCAAAATGGAATTGAAACTACTGCCGAAATGCTAAAGTCTGACTTAGTAAAGTTGGTACGCGAAAATAAAACATCAAGAGTCCGTTATGAAGTAGATGAGATAGCTCTAGCACATGGACATCGGGTACTTCGAATTCCGCCTTATCACTGCCAGTACAATGCCATTGAGCTAATATGGGCACAAATCAAAGGTATTGTTTTTTATCGCATAAGTTATGAATATGAATAATTTGTACTATTATAACATCCAATATTCAGCATATAAGTAAAAAGATACATAACTAAGAAATAAATATCTCATGTCCCTTACATGTAGGTAATTGTGTAACATTTCGTTTATTTAATGTAATAAATTAACGTTATTTAATGTTTACATTACAGGTTACGCAGCTCGTAATAATACGACTCCGCCATTCAGTACTAATAAAATGATGGGTCTATTAAGATGCTTGCAGCAAAATAACGAAAGAAGATTGGGTCAAGGTCGTCGAAAAGACTCGAAAACTAATAACAGAAGATTATGAACGTGATATAAGAGTGGACACCATTATAGAGTGCCGTGTAGTGGCGGTCAAGAATACCACTACCCCATATCCTCCCGTGGGTGTCGTAAAAGGCGACAAAGGGAAACAGGCAGGAGATGGGCAGCAGCATCTTCCTGATAATAGCCAAAATTACAATAAAAAAACTGCGGTTGCCAACCCGCTCGCCAAGCGTGGCAACTATGGCAAATACCCCCCTATGAATGTAACAAAGATACGGCCCCCAGTCCCCGGCGGCCCCGCTATTCCTGGCTACGGTGGCGACCATGGTAACGGTGGGGCAGGGGGTGCTAAGAATCTCCGGTGGAGGTTCGGTTGCCACCTTAGACGACTCGACCTGGCAACGTACAATGCACGCACCCTGAGGACTGACGAGAAGATCGTGGAGCTGGAAGAAGAGATAGACAAGTTGCGCTGGCATATTATAGGATTATCCGAAGTCCGAAGAGAGGGGGAGGACACGGTAATCCTCGAATCCGGCAACTTGCTCTATCACCGGGAGGGCGACCATTTGTCCCAAGGAGGTGTCGGATTTATCGTCCACAAGTCTCTCGTTAACAACGTTGTAAAGATCGGGAGTGTGTCGACGAGGGTTGCGTACCTTATACTCAGAATCACCAAACGGTATTCGCTGAAGGTCATACAGGTTTACGCACCAACCTCGGCACACCCCGATTGGGAGGTGGAGGAAATGTATGAGGATATCTCTAGAGCCATGCATTCCTCCAAAACCCAATATACGGTGTTAATGAGAGATTTCAATGCAAAACTAGGCACAAGAGAGAACGGTGAGCTGAAAGTAGGGAAATTTGGAATAGGGCAACGGAACCCAAGGGGCCAGCAGCTGGCCGACTTCATGGAGAAAGAGGGACTCTTTATGATGAACTCTTTCTTCCAGAAGCGGCCCCACAGGAAGTGGACCTGGTCGAGCCCCGACGGTTCGACAAAAAATGAGATTGACTTCATTATGACGACCAGACGACAACTGTTCAGTGATGTCTCCGTGATCGCGAGGGTGAAAACTGGTAGCGATCACCGAATGGTTAGAGGCACACTGAACCTAAACGTTAAGTTGGAGAGGTCTCGTCTAATGAAGTCAACGCTCCGTCCCCCTCGTGCTGTTCCAAAGTCCCGAAACCTTTCAGCTCGAGTTACAAAACCGTTTTCAGTGCCTAGAAGACTGCAATGAAGTGGACGATATGAATGACAAGCTCGTGGAAACTGTCCATGCGGTCGGAGCTAAGTTCTGCAAGACCCGCCGCAGAAGAACACAAAAACTCTCCGATCACACTCTTAATCTCATGGCTGTTAGACGGGAGATGAAGCTACATTCTTCAACAGACTTGACAGCATACAGGCATCTGAACAGACAGATCTCCAAATGCATGCGGCGGGACTTACGCAACTTCAATACAGCTCGTATTGAAGAAGCGATCGAGCGGAACCAAGGCTCCAAAGTCTTTGCCAGAGATCTGTCTGCCAGAAAGAGCCAACTGTCAAAGCTGAAGATAGAATGTGGCAGCATCGTTTCCGGGACACCTGAGATTTTGAGTGAGATTGAGAGGTTCTATGGGCAGCTGTACACGTCATCGTTGGAGCCACACGCAAGTGTGAGTAACGATCCAAGAGCGAGTCTCATCCGACACTATTCCGAAGATATCCCGGACGTCAGTCTGAGCGAGATTAGAATGGCTCTCCAGCACCTTAAAAACGGTAAGGCCCCAGGCGAGGATGGAATTACAGCGGAGCTTCTGAAAGCGGGTGGAAGACCGGTACTTGAAGTCCTTCAGAAGCTCTTTAATTCCGTCCTCCATGGTGGCATTACACCGGAGGCGTGGAGCAGAAGTGCGGTGGTCTTGTTCTTCAAGAAAGGTGACAACGCTCTCTTGAAGAACTACAGACCGATTTCCCTTCTGAGCCGCGTCTATGTGCTGTTTTCGAGAGTCATTACGAATCGTCTCGCGCGCAGACTTGACGACTTCCAGCCTCCCGAACAAGCCGGTTTCCGAAAGGGCTTTAGCACCATAGACCACATACATACCCTTCGGCAAATTGTACAGAAGTCCGAAGAGTACAATTTGCCACTATGTCTGGCGTATGTGGACTATGAGAAAGCCTTTGATTCCGTCGAAATTTGGGCGGTGCTGCAGTCCCTTCAGCAGTGCCAAGTTGACTGTCGGTATATCGAAGTGTTGAAGTGCTTGTACAGTAGGGCTACGATGGCTATCCGAGTACAGAACCAGAGTACGAAACCTATCCAATTGCAGAGAGGTGTAAGACAGAGTGACGTCATATCCCCGAAACTCTTCACCGCTGCATTGGAAGACGTTTTCAAGCTTCTGGACTGGAAAGGATACGGTATCAACATCAATGGCGAGTACATCACTCACCTTCGATTTGCCGACGATATAGTCCTTATGGCAGAATCGCTGGAGGACCTAAGCACTATGCTCAATGACCTCGATAGTGTCTCCCAACGGATAGGTCTTAAGATGAACATGGACAAAACAAAGATCATGTTCAATGTCCATGTCACACCTATGCCGGTAGTTGTTGGGAGCACTAAGCTCGAAGTTGTTGACGAGTATGTTTACCTTGGACAAATAGTCCGACTAGGTAAGTCCAACTTCGACCGAGAGGTCAATCGACGGATTCAACTCGGCTGGGCAGCGTTCGGGAAGCTACGACACATCTTCTCGTCAGACATACCTCAAAACCTGAAAACGAAATTGTACAACCAGTGCGTGTTGCCAGTGATGACTTATGGAACTGAGACGTGGTCCTTCACTGCTGGCCGTATGAGGAAGCTCAAGGTCGCTCAGCGAGCTATGGAGAGGGCTATGCTCGGAGTTTCTCTGCGTGATAAACTTAGGAATGAGGATATCCGCAGTAGAACCAGAGTAACCGACATAGCCCAACGGATTAGTAAGCTGAAGTGGCAGTGGGCCGGCCATATAGCTCGAAGAACCGACAACCGATGGGGAAGAAAGGTTCTCGAGTGGCAGCCTCGTACCGGTAGGCGAAGTGTAGGGCGTCCCCCCACGAGATGGAGTGACGACCTGGTAAGACATGCAGGAAGTCGATGGATGCAGGTGGCTCAGGACCGTGCTTTGTGGCATTCTTTGGGGGAGGCCTATGTTCAGCAGTGGACTTGTGAAGGGCTGTAATGATGATGATGATGACCATTATAGAGAATGAAATTGTCATACAAGTGACTGATAGCGATGACAGCTCTGGCGAATCTGGTTCAGAGTCTGAATAATTGTTTTAATAAATGATAGGTAGTCATTTATTAAAACATCTTGTACCTACTCTATTCATTAAAATGTGTAACAGTGTTTACAAATTTGTTTTATTTTGATATGTCCTCGACCAATTATCTACGCCCATCAAGGATACTCCACCTAATAAAGAACCTGTGTCTTTAACTATTATTGTTTTGATTTTATTTAATTACACACTATACTAGAATATTTAAAAACAAACTGTTCCCAAATGATATTAGGGTTACTGGTTCAGTAACTTCACTAGTATTGTCAATTCGTCATGTGTCAAATCGGTAATAACTCAGCGGCCAGACTATACATGTTTTTTCTCTGTACTTTATTTATAAGTGGGAACTTTTAATTGGCCTTCAGTATATTTATTTTTTATTGTTCATTTATGTACATGGTAGAGCAATGCTGCAGATTTTAGTTCTCACGGGTGACAACGCATCTGCATTTTGATTATTTATTGAGGATAGATGTGGATGTCTATGGGTCACAGCAACCACTTACATTCAAGTTGACTGTGCGCTCGTTTGTCACCCTATCCAATAAAAACTAGCTGTAAGTTCTAAAATCATAATAAAAAAGATGCTGCTACTCTTTTCCTTTTTGATTTCTTCTGTCGCCTCTCACGACACGCACGGGATAACATGGTGTAGGAAATTCTCTTACCCCGGCACTACACGGCATTATATTAAGGATGAGGAAATAAAATAGCTATAATCTCCAACCAGTATTAGAATGTCAAAAAAAAAACGATTGCAATTTACAAAACAAAGAACTAGTCTTTTCGCCCGCTCGCAGTCGACTAAAGGAGACTACGGAGAATTAACCGTAACTTAGTGCGCAAAATATTAAGGCCGCAGAGCTCGTCTAGAATATATTGTATAGTATACGAGTACATAGAAAGTCTTTGCTTAAATGAGAAAAATCGTCTCCCAGCCGCGTGATACGAAAGTATTACTCACGTGCTGCATGAGAACTGTTCGGAATGTTGTTCGGCGAGCCGCTTGCCGAGCTCCACTAGCCGATACGCCCGCACTTTGTCTTCCAACTCCGGTTCGCTGGTGAAGCACGATGTGGCGATACCCGATGGACTACTGCAATTAAAATGAATACACAAGCTTCTTTTAATACTCGCTGCATTATCCAGCTTTACTCGGATAAGAACTTAGTAAAGGGGAAAGGTAGGGCGTTGAAGGCTATGGGGTAAGTGACTGCTAAGGGGTCGTTCGGGGATGCTGTAGAACTTTCTGAAAAGTTGAAAATTTTCGTAATATTACACAACTTTTAGCTACCTATTCCCACTTACTCATTTCCTCTACGCATTTACAGGTTAAGGGCTACCTACTGTAGCCTTTGGTCTATCAAATCGTAACAGTTCACAACTGAATTTAGGCCTGTCTCAAAGTGGTGAGGATTAAAACCCTAGTGCCAGGCTTGGCACCTGACTTTGTGACTGTCCCAGGTCTGAATAGTTCTCGTATCGTCTGTATGGTCGTACAGCCATCTGTCAGAATCCATAAGATCTTCCGTGCTAAAAGATGGCGTTTTTATCTTGCAGTTAAAAATATTATTAATTACAATCCATCAAAATCCACTACTAAACGTAGCCTCCCCTCCCCCATTGATTGTCTCATATTTGCCATGACTGCCTTGGTCTAATGGTTCTAAACGCGATTACTAATCATGTGGTCCCGCGTTCAAATCCAGAATCGGGCCAAAATCAGTTATTTGGTTTAACTTTCAAGACATTTTCAGTAATTTAATATAATTTGACGGCTCCGTGGCGCAGTGGCTTAACAGTGAGTTGTTGCGCTGGGGGCCGCGGGTTCGAATCCCACACGGAACAAGTATTTGTATGGCCTACAAATAATTGTTCCGGGTCTGGATGTTTGTCCTCGTGCAATTTATGTTTGTAAACTGCCTCCACGACACAGGAGAAAATCCTAGTGTGGGGGTAACGTATTAAAAAAAAGAAAACAACACAGAGTCAGGAAGGTGGCGGTGTTTCACCCACGTATCTCGGAAAGCATATAGTCATTGGGCCCTGCGCGTGATCTATCACCGGTCAGAGTACAAGGGTGAGATAGTAAAGAGTACACCTGTGCTTGCACACTCTCTTTGGCTCTATGTTCTTGTTTTGTACAGATGGCTAGTCTTCGTTGAGTTCGGCCTGGAGGACATTATCATTATAGACTTAAATAAATATGTAAAAGGAGTAAAGAAAGCAAAAAACTTTACCCAGTATCCCCGTCCTGACCCGCCTCTAGCTCAGGCAGCCTGCCACCGTAAGTGTCCCAAGTAGTGTGATAGGAAAACTTTAGGCCTTTGAAAGCCTCTTCTAGAGGCAGGAAACCGTGCAGCTCCTCGTCTTCAGGCAAGGGTACTGTGTCGTCTGCAGAAGTTATTTTTATCATGTTATGTGCCAGATATGGTTTGTGTCATTGTACTGCCCAACATTTCGGTAGCTGACACCATCTATATATGTATATATATATATATATATATATATGTATATATATATATATATATATATATATATATATATATACATATATATATACATATATATATATACACATATATATATAATGTAATTCTTCTATTCGTATGACTTATATGATCAATTGTGTTTGAGTGGGTTCCAAACAATTGGATCTGGTAGGTGGCGCTATTGTCGTTTTACATGAAGATTACATCCATCCACCAGAAGCATAGGCCGTCCCCGTAGATTGTCTCAAAATGGGGATTTTATCATAGTTGCCACAATTGGCAGGCTTATTTATAATTTTGGATTGTTATCAGTAAGATGCTTTGGAAATAGTCATATTTTTTGAATTTTAGTAAAGAATTGGTGAAAGAAATTTTGCAATTTCCTCTCCTTTAGTGGTTGATATGAAGAATTTAGTGTGTAGTGGAGTGAGTAGTCTACTACTCCATATTATCCCGTGGGTATCGTAAGAGGCGACAAAGAGAAACAAGCCAGGAGATACAGAAACAGAAACTTTTTTATTCAATATAGATTATAAATAATACTTATTGAAAGTCACTCTTTTGTTTAATAACCACTGGTTCGAAAAAAAACCTCTGTCCTGGGAAGAACCAGCAAAATACCCAGCGGGACTTTTTTTTAATAACAGCTTACAACATGTATGTTACACTATTAACAACACAATAAATTAGAAATAGCTTGGTAGCGATCACCTCATTCGCAGGAGTTATTATCATCCATAAATTCCTTAATATTATAATAACCCTTTTTATACAAACTTAATTTAACAAAGTTTTTGAACTTTGAGCAGATCAAATATTGTACATTTTCTGGAATTTTGTTGTAAAAGCGTATACATCGCCCCAAGAATAAGTTACTGACTCGGTGGAGTAGAGTAACTGGTACTACTAGCTTGTGTCTGTTCCTAGTATTTACAGAATGAATATCACTTATTTTTGTAAAACTACTTTTATTTTTGTGTACTTGGATTACATGGTCATAAATGTATTGAGAGGCCAAAGTTAATATATTAATTTCTTTAAATTTTTGTCGCAGCAACCCTTTAGGCTTTAAATAATAAATTGCTGTTATGGCCCTCTTCTGTAAAACAAATATAATTTCAGTGTCAGTCGCGTGTCTCCATAGCAAAATACCATACGACATTTTGCTATGGAAATAGCTAAAGTAAACCAGTCTAGCTGTTACAACACTGGTAAGATTTCTAATTTTTTTACAGCATATATTGCAGACTCCTACTGTCGCCCATTCATTCAATGTGTTCCGACTGTTCAAGGAGAATGTTTTAGAAGTAAAAGTATTATTAAATTCATTGCAAATAAGCTTAAACAATGTTCCATACAAAAAATTTGGATTATTTTGATATGAAATTGATGGAAGTTTTTTCACTATGTTACTTCTAAATTTCTCCAAGCGATGTGCATTTACTGGAACCAAACACAACTTTCTCATCTACTTGCTTTTTGTGAACATAAGGTAACGAAACTAATTGTACACAGTGATCAGAACTTAATTTTAGAATATACATTTATGCAACGGCTTAACATTTGTAAAAATGTTTTCTATATGTGTTGCACTAGATTGAGCAATAGTATATATAACAGCTCTAAAAATAAATTAAACAGAACATATGATTTAAACAATGATCTAAATTTATTATTGGTGGAGGAAGCTTCTAGGAGATTGATATTAAAGTCTCTATTAAAGATGTATATGATGTATGTTATGATATATGTATTAAAGATGGGCAGCAGCATCTTCCTAATACATACAAGTAAAAATAAACAAGTGCGGTTTTCAAGCTGCTTGCTAATCGTGACAACTATGGCAAATGTAAAACATGATGAAACTATACTCAACAGTGGACTTTTATAGGCTGTCACGGTAGCGGTTTTTTTCTTATGAAACTGTTGCTTTTAGGGATCCAAAAGCGATCTCCTGGGATGTCTATAGAGATAGCCTAAGAAGGAATTTGGAAACGTTTCCTAAAACCATAAAAACGATCGAAGGTCTGGAGTTAGCGGAGACGGTAACCGTAGGTATCCGTAAAGACTTCGAAGACAGTTGTCCCGTTAAAAACAAGAACTCAACACGAAAAGTTACACTAAGCTAAAGTAGCTTAGGGAAAAGACCAGGAAACTATTCAATAGGACTAAAAAACCAAAGAATGGGATATTTATAGTGCAGCCCTAACCAATTATAATAAAGAATTTAGGAAAGCTAAGACAACATCGTGGAGGAAGCTATGCGAGGAAGTTGAGTCTTTGCCTCGCAGTTCAAGACTACACAAAATGCTATCGAAAGCTTAACCTAATCAGATCGCGCTTTTTAAAAAGCCTGATGGTTACACTGGAGCTACTAGCGTCAACCCATTTCCCAGGGTCACATATGACTCTGACCTTGAACTCTCTTAGAGCCCTACAAAGGCCTTGTAATGAGGATGTTTGTAGGGCTACAAAGATAATAAGGCCAAACCTGGTGCAGTGAGCTGTTGACTCCTTTAAACCATATAAGGCAAGTGGGGAGGATGGAATAATGCAAATCCATCTACAGAGGGGTATCGATATCCTTCTTCCTTATTTGGTTAAAATCTTCGGAGCATGTTTTGCATGGGATATATTCCAAAACGATGGACAATTGACAAAGTTCTGTTTATACCTAAGAAAGGACTACGCTTTACCAAAGTCGTTTCGACCTATAAGCCTTTCTTCCTTTCTTCTTAAGGCATTGTTGGCATTGTTCCAAAGAAAACCTACAGCAGAAAAGGTTATAGATAGATATATTAAGGATGTAGCGCTAGCTACAAGAATTATACAACCAGCATGCTTACCGCAGAGGCAAATCTACGGACAGCCCTGATCAGTGTTATAGACAGGGTCGAAAAAGCGCTGGAGGATAAAGAAATAGCTCTTTGTGCCTTTCTAGACATTGAGGGCGCCTTCGACAGTAGCCCTACATCACTGCTGGTTGGGGGCCTGACATCTAAAAATGTTGACTCCACAACCATCAGGTGGGTGAAGTCGATGATCTTGAAAAAGCCAAAAATAGTGTTGTTTCAAACTTAGACTGAGATTGCAACTACAAGAGGCTGTCCACAAGGTGGTGTTTTGTCACCCCTCCTTTGGACTCTTGCGGTTGACCAATTAAAGTTAAATTTTGGTTGACCAATTAAGCTCGTTGTCATTAATCATACAAAGAGCCCTAAACACCATAAACAATTGGTGCAGGGATAACAGTTTATCAGTTAATGCTGATAAAACTGTTGTAATACCCTTTAACAAAAAGAGACGGACAAATTAGTTACACCAAAACTTAATGGTAAAGAAGTACCATTCTCCACTGAAGTTAAGTACTTGGGCGTAGCAATCGACCAAAAGCTAACGTGGAATTCTCACTTTAGCAATATATGTCATAAGGCTAAAATTGCTTTAGGTACATGCATTCGCATGGTCGGGAACAACTGGGGCTTGCGTCCCAGTATGATCCTATGGTTGTACAGCAGTATAGTGAGGCCGATTCTTACCTACGCCTCCACTGTCTAGTGTAATAAGGCCAACTAAAAGATGACTGCGGATAGACTAAATAGTCTACAAAGGACTGCCTGTTTCATCGCCTGGAGCGGCTCTTAATGCACTTCTAGGCATAACGCCTCTTGATCTGTACTTAGACAAGGAGGTGAAGGCTAGTTTGTATAGGATTAACGCTCAGGGCGGTTTGAGCTTGCTTTCCTATAGATTGAGATCCAAGCTCGACTTAATCAAACACCGGATTATGCATGATATCAGATATCATACATCCACTATATACTCTTAACAAAAAGTAAACAGTCGAACTACCCTCCACAGAAGACTGGACTGGCTGAATGGACAGGTCATCTGTGAGGTCGGTAGCCTTATATGGTATACCGATGGGTCAAAAAAGGGCCTCAACGTAGGCTTTGGAATTTATGGGGAACGCCCCGAATTCAAACTTAGTATGAATTTGGGTAGATTCACCTCTATCTTCCAGACAGAAATTTTCGCAATACTTCAGTGTGCGGAAATCAATCCGCAAAAACACTACGTTAACCATATAATTTATATTAACTCTGATAGTCAAGCAGCACTGCTAGCGCAGAGATCAAACTTGGTGAATTCAAAGCTAGTTGGAGACTGCGTGAACCGTCTAAACGCCGTTGGAGATAACAACAAGGTGGTTTTAAGATGGCTTCCGGGTCATGCGAGTATTGTAAGCAATGAAACTGCCGACTAGCTCGCACGGGAGGGCTCAAAGTGTACACAATTTGGACCCGAGCCATTTTGTGGAATCTCAAAAAGCCTCGCCCGATTGACCCTGGAAACTCTTTACCACAATAAATCACTTAAGATCTGGTCTGATACATCAGGCTTAAAACATTCTAAAACCTTAATCAGGGCTTTCGATCGTAAATTCGTTTCGGAAGCCCTGGGATTAGGTAAAAATAAATTGCTCATTCTGGTAAGAGCCCTGACTGGACACTGTTGTCTTAAAAAGCATAAACTCCGTCGTTGTCGTATCTCCTCAGTTTCAAGGCACTCCCCTTCTTGCCTCAGCCAGTATCGGTATCCTCGGAGCCGACATATCGAGTGACGTACAGTTTCGTGGTCACTTGGAAGAGAAGGCTAAATTGGCCTCTAAAAAGCTTGGCGTGCTCAGCAGAGCGGGACAGTATTTCATGCCGGCACACCGCCTGCAACTTTACAAGGCGCAGGTTCGGCCTCACATGGAATACTGTTCCCATCTCTGGGCAGGGGCTCCCCAGTGCCAGCTCCTTCCACTTGACCGCATCCAGCGCAGAGCGGCTCGAATCGTCGACGACCGAGCCCTTTCCGATCGGCTCGATTCATTGGCACTGCGAAGAGATGTTGCATCTCTTTGCATTTTCTTTCGCATCTACCATGGGGAGTGCTCTGAGGAATTGTTCGGATTAATCCCAGCCGCCAAATTTCACGAACGCACATCGCGGCAAAACTCCCGATACCATCCACACCATCTGGATGATTGGCGGTCCACCACTGTGCGATTTAGAAGATGTTTTCTTCCTCGCACAACTTCCTTGTGGAATAGTTTACCACCAGGGATTTTTCCGGACCGATACGACTTAGGGACCTTCAAGAAAAGAGCCTACTCCTTTTTAAAAGGCCGGCAACGCATCTGCAATTCCCCTGGTGTTGCGGTTGTTCATGGGCGGCGGTAGTCACTTACCATCAGGTGAGCCGCATGCTCGTTTGCCCCCTCTCCTATAAAAAAAAAAAAAAAAAAAAAAAAAAACTAAGCAATTCAAGAATTTGCCTACTTTGCTCCCTAGAGGAGGAATCGCCTTTACACATCCTGACAAATTGCGGACGATTAATGCGCAAACACAGCACTCATCTGGGAAACTATGTACTTCGCCCAGAAGAAGTGAAATTACTCACAGCTAAGCAGTGGCGAAGCTAGAGCTCCAAACTAGGACAAGCCCAAGATATGTTTTTGTTGTTTTTAGCAGTTTTATAAAAAATTTCCTTTTCTCTTTTTCGATTTTACTTTAACACACTTCAATTCATCACAAGAAACACTATTATCCTCCATTTTCACTAAAAATCTATAAAAAAGTATAAATTTCCAACTCCTCCTTCCAACGGAGTAAACATTGGAATGTGAAGTTGTGAAGTGAACTTTGCAAGCGCACGCCCCCACGCTCGAAAACTGACAACTTCACACTGAAAGCCTGGCTTCTGATTTCCATACTGATTGCTATATAAACAATCGTAGTTATATTTCATTGTAGAACATTTTGCCACAGGTTAGAAAGGGAGCGATCGTCTTGTCGAAAGCCCGATAAAAAGCCCACGCGTACGGGAGAGCTCAACTGCGTGTTCGCTTTGAGACAGAGAGAGCACGAATCAGTGTATTTCAAATTGAAAGCAATCTGCCAAGTGTTGACGTTACATAATAAGGTTATGAGGTCACGACCTGTGTAGAACAGAGGAGCGCTTTGAAACAGACAAGCCGGACTTCTCGGCTTGTATGGAAGCTTCACTACCGCAGCTAAGCAACTCCTTCTATTCATTGAGGACGAAGGGCTTAGCAGTGAACTGTAGACATAGCAGCGATCACAACAGATCTTTTAGGTCGCAGTGATACTGGTCGCTAGACCTGCATAGTTGGCTCATACATAATAAAAAAATGGTAGCGGTATGTTCATCACACACAACACCGTGCATAATATAAATAAATTATTATTACTATTATTATATATTAAGCAGGCTGGCAATCGAGACAAGTGATAATGCCAGTATCGTGTTTGTGCTCACTAGTTACTTCTTTTGCAGTTCAGAAAATGATTATCTATTCTTGATTGGTTCACATTTTGGGCTGAGATTACGTTCCCTGGCAGCTTACTCTACTCTGTGACTACACGGTTACAAATGAAAAAAAAAACTGGTATACAGCTTAAGATGGTGGCCCCTGAGGTGATTGTTTTAATTATGAATAAACAATTTGTCTAATTCCTCTAAATAATAACTATAAAGCGAACAAAAAACAATTAGATGTTTTTTTTAAATAACAGACCATCTGTAACCTAGTTATGCTCTACAATAGGAATCACAGGTTAGTTTAATTGCTGTTTAAAAAAATATTAATCTGTCGCGGTTCTTTTGCTAGATAGTGACTAGCAAGTGAGATTTAAAATTTCAATAAACCAATAAAACCAAAATAAATATTAAATTCTAATAAAGTAAGTAACAAATATTAAGGCGAAATTGGCATTTTTTTTCTGTTTGAAGTCTGGAATTAAGTTGGTGCAAGCTATTGGCATCAAATCTTAACGATGGTCACCAGTAAGACGAGATCGAAATTTATTTTTAATGTAGTTCATCTTGGAAACCACTGTTTTACAAAAATATGTTGATCTATATTGGTATTTATTACCACACATTCTTGGCAAAGAACTTCCGAATTTTTGTGTTTTAAAACATAAGAAAAGTGAATTATTACAAATTTTTACATTGATATTATTAGATTCTTCTGGATCCGCACAAAATTTGTCGGCGGTCCGGATTCTGACCGCGGTCCGCCATTTGGGACCCCTGTTCTACAGTATTCAATAATTAAATAAAGACTAGACATTAACCTTTGGAACTTAACATAGAAATCTGATCAGATCAACCCCGTTGCAAGCAGCACAACACACATCGGCACGTATGGGAAGGAAAGTGTGTATCGTAAACTGTGGATTTACTCCTATATATTTTGGAAGTGAATTTATTTTGGGACATCACGGAGCGTACTTGAAAATGTCATACTCGCTGGAATGTCTCTTGTATCGTGTATACATAACATGTCGGTGTATTGCAAGCGTGTGGTGCAGCATACTCACAGAGGTCTGCGGCGAGCTGGCGAGCGCGCGGCGCCAGGCCGGCCAGCGCGTGCGCCAGCGCCGGCCACAGCTGCGGCCGCGCTCGCCACGCTGCTGCTTCCAACGCTTGAGGCTTTGCCACCATCCAGTGCAGCCAAACTTTCACTGAAACAAGTTCATTACTAATTAGTGATCGAAATTCAACCGTAATTGATAAAAAACTTAGGTGTGTGCATTTAAGGGTTAAAAAACAGTTTTATCTCACTTTTAAATGCATATTAAAAAAACACAGATATTAAATATACGATTTTTTTTGCTTTGACATACACTTTACACCAAGCTCCAATCCACACACTATCAATAGTCAAAAGGAACATTTGATTTCGCACAAAATTCACAGCTTATTCAGTCAATCTATCAGTAATTATATGTTGGCAATGTTGTGAAATTCTTAGACAACAGTCTCAACTCTGTTTTTTTTATAACTGGCTTTACGGTTCTGGGTTTTAACCCTCCTGAGCCTGAAGTTACAATGTATAATTATCATTCATAGTACACTGCCTCACAATATGTTAATGCGTCACACTGTGCAGCCCTTGGGAGACTTTGATGGCAAGCCGGCAGACAGCTGTCAGTTGGCAATGGTATCTCAAGGCGCCTAAGCAGACACCTTATCTTGAGAATCACATCACCACTAGAGCACTTGTTTCACCGTTTCCACTAATAGTTCACATGCGATGACATTTAATACACAAAATCGCACCACCCCTACATATCAAAGTCTACTTCAAACTATTATCCAAACAACAACACAGGAGCAACAAACCACCGCTGACCAAGTTCCCGCCAAAACTCCTCTCTCAACTCTGTGCGACATTTTGACCACAGACTATTAATTGTTTGACATTGGCCTTAGAGTAGTAAAACATACTTTACTTATGCTTGTAATTACTCTGAGACATTGGCAGTATAAACGTCATCAAACGACGTAATTTGTACAAAAACCATGATGTTTATGTCACTGGCAATATGAACTTAAAAATTGAATACTTTATTTTATTTAATTTAATATATAGTTTGCATTCAATCAATGCCTTATTTTTTTATTCTAGAATGTCTATTTTTTTTTAAAATAACTATGTCAAAGTGGTGAAACATAGTCTAGCTGATGGTAAGTGAATGACGTGGTCCACATATCTATTATAATAATATTTATTGGACCCAAAAACACTTTACATAAAACAAAAACTTATAAAATTACATCTACGTTACATCATCTACACCTATCTTCGAATAGTAATTAAAATTCAGTCAAGTCTACCCATTTGTGCTGCATCCATGATACAGCTGCAACACATATAAATTCAACCACATATAATACTTACAAGCAGGTAGAGCCTTCTTTGGTGGCTCAGATGCAGTATAAGCAGGGAGCAGTAGAGATAGAACAGTGCTCGAAGCAAGCGAAGCTGCAAGTCGAGCGGCCGCTGCTTCGTCTGCACTGAGGGCACTCTCAGAGCTCAACTCCTCGCTCGAAGACTGTACCAACCAAATCAGAACACACGACATCTGCAAAAAATTACAATTTATGTAAGCGTGAAGTTCATCAACAATAGACAATATCTAATGTTTACGTGTTTACAATGGTTGATCGTACGCACTGGTGTCCTTGTTTTTTGGCAACGATCTAATATTTTTAAATAATAATCACCTGAAACCATTTAGTTAATAAAAAAAAAGATTTAATACAATAATATGTACAATAGATTCAATGAAAAAATTAAATTTATCTACAATATTTTAATTAGTCTGATATGGGTGATGTATGAACAGCACTGATAAACTCTACTAATGGCCGATTCTTATATTCAAGAAACGTCTTTGTATTTGTTTTAAAAAACGGCTCGTCAAAGAAAACGAAACGTTTTTAAATATAGAAACCTGGCATAAGACATTATGAAAAAGGTAAGTTTTGTATGTGGTAGAGCCAAGCTGCAGCTATATTTATAGTATAGTTGTAGCATAAATGGGTCGGCTCGACCTGGGAAGGAACACGCTCTCATACCAGCGTAAGATATACCAGCATAGAATACCAGCGTAAAATAGCATCTTAACGCTGGTGTGTTTCATATGGTGAGTGTAGTGAACCGGTGACCCTTTTTGCTGGAAAACAGGCATTCCATCTTATTCCTCAAGGCTGACAATGCATCTGCATTTTGATTCGCAAATGAGGATAGATGTAGATGTCTATGGGTTACAGCAACCACTTACCATCAGGTGGACTGTGTGCTCGTTTGTTATCTTATTTCTATAAAAAATCTATCCGGCACTAAATGGATTGCTACATATCAATTTATATTTCATATTTTATAGCATTCGCTCCCGCGAATAAAATAATTGCAACAAAGGCTATTGCAAAGAGTACACTTTCTGATTTTTACCTTTATTAATGTCATAGATTCGAAGCTGTCGGTTGCAACCAATGGTGTAAGGGATGTGTTCAATGTGTTCACTAATACAGTAGCGTCGTCCAGTCTGAAAACAAAATATAATGCAGTTTTAGACGGTAATTAAAATAATTGTCAATGAAGATTAATACTACTTTTTTTTATTAATATAATAATAAATCCTTTATTTCGACCAACCATAGTCATAGATTGTTAGTAAAACTTACTTAGCCTAGTGTTAGTATAAAATAAAATTGAAATTAATATTAAAATGTTAGTCGCAATAATACTTGTCCTATATTACTAACTTAACCTACCCCCAGCCTCACATAGCGAACTCCAGGTGGGATTGAACATGCTTATACCGTTAAATTCTGTGCGACATTTGTGTCACATCCTTCATTAAAAATGGTTTATTGGTCTCCAAAACGCAGGGGAAAAATTCCTTAATTTTAATTTACTTAAAAACAGTTTATTTTTATTTTGTGCAATGGCCAGAACAAACACATCTCTTTATAATACAAAATTAATACTCACTGTTCCACAGTATGAATATAGTTGATAGCTCGAATGAGTTCGGTGACATAGGAATGTGCGTCCAGTCGCTCAGGCTTAGAAGGTGTTGTGTTGGTAGCGGTTTTAGTCAACCCTGGTAAAACCGGCATCGGTGGCGCCTCCTTAACATCGCGGCTTTAAAATAGATTTCAAATAGATTTAGTAAATGTAAATTCACGAAAACTAATATTTAAGTTTTAAAATCACAACTTACTAACAACTGTCCTATAATAAATATAAAGTGGTTTCGCCTACTATATACATTATAGTATTCGGACCATTTATTAAGACGGGTTAACGTTAATGTTGTTGTGAATTCAACCAACACCTCCGTGCTCGTAGTCCAGCCTGGTGTAAGCAACTCTGAATGGTCTTATTGGTAACTTAAAGTCTAGAGACGGCCCACACTACTGCTTTTATTGTAGTGGCGTTGAATGTTGGTTCACGGGCTACCAGCGATATAATATAGCGCTTCTGAACAACAGACAAAATAGTAGGATGACCGCTGCAGGTTCGTGCAGCTAAATTATTCATGCAAACCAAGGTAGATCTGACCCCGTAAAGGAGAGTGGGAGCACTGCTTAATCGGTTGTTTGACTGTGATGGTCCATTTGTGTATATTGCATGCGAGCATGTGTGCGTGCGTGAATGTATGTGTGTGTGTGCATGCGTGCGTGAATGTGTGTTTGCGTGCGTGCGTGTGTACGCGCGTGTGTGTGTGTGTAAGTGTGCTCTTTGTCTCATTCTATTTAAAAAAATATATATGCTCAAAGCTCACCTGGCAGCAGCCAGAGTCCGAGCCAAATTAGCAGGCGCGGGCGGAAATGGTGCCCGAACCATTAGCGAGCGGACATGCCAATACAACGCAGCCAAGCGCCTCCCACGGCGCCAAGCAACAAGAGCCAGCTGGTTGTAAGGCTGGCCTGAGTGAGGTGATACAGCCAAGGCGTGACGGTAGAAAGTGTGAGCGACGCGAAGCTGTTGGCGGTAACGGGCCAAGTCTCCAAGATGAACCAGACAGTGTTGGCTGACGTATCGGGCTGCAGCGGGGGCAGCCGATGCGCCAGGGCCCCACGCTTCTACAGAGCCCAAGAGTGAGGCTCGACGTCTGTTTACAAAAAATTCTTAAGTATTTTTCACATTTTTACGAAGGGGGGTGACGGGTTTTCTCACACCGCCATCACACGACTAATGTAGTAAATAAATAAAACATATTCAGTGATTAACATTGATGCGTTTAGATTATTATGCTTAATGCCCTGATTTCAGTTATTTGAAAAAGAATAAAGGAAGATCAATGAGGGAAGAAGAGCGCTTATTGTTAGGCATGAAGTTGGGCCTTTATTTCTTCCATGCACTATGTCTTCCGAATTTAAAATTATTTTATCTTTTTAGTATATTTAAAGTCGGCTTTTACCTTTGATTAAAAGTTAATTTTTATATTAGCATTTACAGTTGTAGAAAGTCAAGTTAACTTAGCCTACTGGTACACAATAGATAAAGATGAATGGCAATTGTCAGCATTTTTTAGCCAGGATGGTAATAAAAGTAACAATTAAACCGTAAGGTACCATGTAGTGCACAAGTAAGTGATTTCACTAACACATCTCACATCTTAGGTTTCGTAAGAGACAATCGTTTGGAAAACCCAAAAGTGCACGCCTATTCACGCCAGGATATTTAATCCTACCAATGAGATAAGCTATGGGGGATACCTATTTTCAACAGTAGTATGGCATGATCGTGGAGCAGGAAGAATTGCAATTCATGCAAATGTGAACTTTAATAACTTGCGAATAAGCTCGGTTTTCAAATCATATATACAGTTAAAATGATCCTAAAACTATCTTAGTTGCAATACGAATAAAACTTTTCATGATGGGAATCAAGTTTAAAAATGCAAAGCAATAAAAGAATTCCTGCTTCGTGACTTAGACTGCGAAGTGCTTTAGACTTTGATAGACTGTAATGAATGAATTAATAAAAGTAGAAGAAATGACCTGAAGGGTAAATCCAGTTTGAATGTCGTGCAGATCTGATGAAGCAAACAAAGGTAGAATCCGGCCGCAGCCTGCAGAATCCATGATAACATAGCCTGACCTTCACTGCGGAGGGGGTTCTGAAAATCAAGAAAGTTATTATATCAATAAACAAAAACATTTATGCAAATGTGTGTAAAGCACAAATGGAACAGAAAACACTGTCTTGAATTGGGTAACAGAATTGCACGGCACAATTGCACTAACTATAACGTGTCTTTGGTGGCATTGCTACCAACCTCTTCAATATGTTAATTCAATATGTTTTTGGGACATGGTAAGGCTGGTGTTGATGAAATGTAAGGAAAATTAAAATATTTAATTAATATATTAGGAGATTTTAATGGAAGGGTTGGGGTGAAGAGGTCTGGTTATGAAAGGATATTAGGAACGTTTGGCGATGAAAGAATAAATGAGAATGGTGAAGACCTCCTCACCGAATGTATGGAAATCAATATTTTTGTGGCGAACACTTTCTTTCGCCATAAGAGGATTCACATGTATACAGGGGAAAGAGGGGATGATAGAAGCATGATAGATTTCATAATTGTGGATGAAAGTAGATACAAGGGTTTACCGTGGGTCAAACGTAGGGACGGATCATTACTTGGTCTTATGTCGAATTAATGCTCTACTCAGGCGTTAGCGCGTCTGTGTCTGCGTTACAGCGTATAAGAATAGAGAGGTTACAAGATGAAGGTGTGAAAGAGAAATATAAATGCAGCCTGAGGGAAAATATAAGTGTGTTGAATGAATTATGTATGAATGATTTAGACTTGAAGAATGTATGGAATAATGTTAAGAAATTTTTAGTGGATGCAGCCACCGAAGTATGTGGTGTAAGTAAGAGAACGAATGAAAGGAAAAGTAATACGTTGTGGTTGGATGATGAGGTACGGATGGAAGTTGAAGCAAAGAAGAGAGTATAGCTAGATTTACTAGTAAATAAAGCTGGTAATTCTGGCGGTATGAATGATGAGATTGAAAGAAAAAAGGCAGACTTTAGACGTATAAATAAGAGAGTAAAAGAAGTTGTTGAAAGGAAAAAGCAAGAAAGGATAGCTAAGAATGATAGAAGGATATCTGATAACTTCCAGGCAAATATTAAAATGTTCTGGAAGCTCGTAAGAACTGCCAGGGGAAATTCAAAGCAGCCTAGAATTAATGCTATACGAGACGAGAATGGCTGCATGCTGAATGATGAAGTTTCGAATTTAAAGAGATGGAAGAAATACTTTGAAAGCGTGTTTAAGAGTGAAGAGTCGTCTGAATTAAGTGAAATAGAAATTCCGAGAGAAATGGAGAGAGGTAGAGAGATAATTGTAGATGAAATAATGAAAACAATGAAAAGCATGAAAGCAGGTAACGCAGCCGGATATGACAGAGTATCACTCGAAATGCTAAGGGCTGGAGAGGGTGTGGTCGCAGGTCTGCTGTACACCTTGTTTAATTTATGTTGGGAACTGAAGCGGATACCGAAAGACTGGTGCAAAGCCGTTATAGTCCCAATATATAAGGGAAAAGGGTCACAGAAGGACTGTAAAAACTACCGTGGTATCAGCTTGCTTAGCGTTGTGGGTAAACTGTATGCTAAGGTGTTAATTGAAAGAGTTATCGAAGAAACTGATGGAACAATTTGGGATGTGCAAGCTGGATTTAGAAAGGGGATGGGGTGTACGGATCAAGTCTTTTCCATGCGCATGATTTGCGCGGAAATTTTTTTGACCAAACACCAGAAATTTTTTTGTGTGTTCATGGACTTGGAAAAGGCTTATGACAGAGTGGACAGGAACGTGTTATGGCAAACACTGATCTCATTTGGGTTGAGCGCTGGTTTGATACAGGCATTAAGGTCTCTTTACAGGGACTCTAGTGCTTGTGTCAGGATCAGCGGGGTCTAATCGGACTGGTATGGCATTCAAAAAGGTGTCAGACAGGGTTATGTAGCTTCCACGTGGCTGTTTAACCTATTTATGGACAGTTGTTTGCAAACTTTGAAAGTTGAAGAATGTGGGTTGAGAATGGGTGAGTTAACCGTCAAATGCGTTTTGTACGCCGATGATCAAGTCATATTTGCATCGTCGGCGGCCGTGTTGCAAATGATGGTTACTTTAATGAACTGCTCATTAAAAGAAAGGGATATGAAAGTTTTTTGTTTTTGTTTTTTTTTTTAAACGTTACACTCGGATTTTCTCCTGTGTCGTGGAGGCAGTTTACAGACATAAATTGCACAAGGACAAACATCCAGACCCGGAACAATTATTTGTAGGCCATACAAATACTTGTTCCGTGCGTGATTCGAACCCGCGGCCCCCAGCGCAACAACTGATTGCTAAGTCACTGCGCCACGGATCCGTCAAAAGAAAAGTGAACGCAAGTAAGACGAAAGTGATGGTTTTTGAAAGAGAAGAAAGTAAAACGTTATGTGAAATAAGAATAGAAGGGGAGTTGATTGAGCAAGTGGATGAGTTTGTATATTTGGGATGTTTATTTAGCAGGGATGGTAGATATGATAATTATATAGAACGACGAGTGAACGCAGGAAATAGAGTGAATGGGGCTCTACACGCTATTATGAAGAGTTAGAATGTGTCAAAGAAGGCACGTATGGCAATTCATAATGCAGTGTTATACCCTACTTTAATGTATGGTAGTGAAAATTGGGGCTGGCAGAAGAAGCATGAGAGTAGAATAAATGCTGTAGAAATTCGGTCATTAAGGAGTATGCTAGGGCTGAATCTGAATGACAGGGTGAGAAATAGTGTGATACGAGGGCGGCACTGAAAATTTCGGGAATCAAGGAAGTGACACAACATTACTATTTAAAAATGTATTTATTGCTTTTCGAAGTATTCTCCGCGAAATTTGACACATTTTTCCATACGTTGGAACCAATCACTGAAGCAACCATTCCATTCGGAAGTTGGGGTCTCCAAAATGGCCGTTTTGTAAGCGTCCACAGCTTTTTCATGTGATGAAAAGCTCTGTCCACGCAATTTATTCTTTATTTTAGGGAAAGTATAGAAATCGTTAGGGCTTAGGTCGGGGCTGTACGGCGGATGGTCTAATAATTCTATGTTTTCTTGCTCTAAAAACTCTTTTGTTCTGTGTGTGGTGTGAGAACTCGCATTGTCGTGATGGAGGATGATGCGGCGGTTGCAGTTCTCTTTACGGAGTTCAGAAACGACCTGTGGCAAACAAATGCTAGCATACCATTCTGCATTAACCGTTCTTTCTCCCTCAAGAGGAATAGTCGTAACATGGCCGGTTTTGGAGACAAACGTGGCCACCATTTTTTTTGCAACACTGCGTGAACGAACAATTTTTGTTGGCTTTAACTCATTTTCGAACACCCAAACTCGTGACTAGTTTTTTGTTTCGGGTTCGTACGCGTATATCCAGGATTCGTCACCTGATACGATGTTGTATACAGCATTTGAGGATCCTGCGTGGAATCTTTCGCGAGTTCTGACGCACCAAGTAACGCGAGCCGCTTTTTGCTCTTCACAGAGCGAATGCGGTATCCATCGAGAAAACAACTTTTTTACACCTAATTGTTGATGCAAGATTATTTGTATTTGTCTCATGCCAATGTCTAAAGTTGCCTGAATTTCGCGGTATGTCACATGTCGATCTTCCTCAATCAGCTTACGCACAGCATCAACATTTTCTTTGGTGACTGCAGTTTTTGGACGACCTTGACGGGGATCATCACTGAGCTTGACACATCCACGTTGAAATCCAGCAAACCAGCGATAAATTGTGGTTTGGGATGGGGCTTCATCACCAAATGCAGAAATCATCCGGTCAACACACTGTTTTTGTTTTAAACCACTTCGAAAGTCATAATAAATCATCGCTCTTGAATTTTCTCGAGTCAATTCCATTTTCTCAACGACTAAACAAGTTTGATAAAACCTTGTGGCAAGACCGAGAATCTTTTTTTAAATAAATAAATGGTATTCGATTTTTAAAACCAAGGGGTTTTCAATTACAAAGATTTTAATATGACAGGAACAGTGGAAATATTCTATTCCCGATACTTTTAGTGCAGCCCTCGTAAGAGAAAAGTGTGGTTTTCAAGATGACGTTGTGACCAGGATTAAAAAAGGAATGCTTCGGTGGATTGGTTATGTAGAAAGAATGAACGAGGAAAGAGTGACAAAGCAAATTTATGTTTCAGAAGTGAACGGCAGAGTCGGGAAGGGACGCCCTAGACGAAGATTTATCGACCAAATCGGCGATACATTGAAAATGGGCAAGATTAGGAGTACCCTTAACCGACGAGCATGTATGCTTAGATATATGGATGTAAAGGAGGCGAGAGAGGTGTGTCAGGATCGCGCCAAATGGAAGTCCGTAGTCTCTGCCTACCCCTCTGGGTGACAGGCGTGAGTGTTTGTGTGTGTGTGTTACAAGTACGAAATTACCGTGTAGTAAGAATATCCACTACACCATATCATCCCGTGGGTGTCGTATAAGACGACAGAGGGAAACAAATCAGGATACGGGCAGTAGAGTCTTCCTAATAATGACTAAAAATAAAAAAAATGCGGTTGCCGACCCGGGGCAGCTATGGCAAATATAAGGCAATCTATGGGGGAGGCCCATGTTCAACAGTGGAGTAACGGTAACGGTACAGGTACGACAAGGTTGTGGTTTAATAAAAAAATAGATAATGAGATTGTGCGTGTTGCCAGTGATGACATACGGAACTGAGACGTGGTCCTTCACTGCTGGCCTGATAAGGAAGCTCAAGGTCGCTCAGCGAGCTATGGAGACGGCTATGCTCGGAGTTTCTCTGCGTGATAAACTCAGAAATGAGGATATCCGCAGTAGAACCAGAGTGAGCGACATAGCCCACCAACTGATTAGTAAGCTGAAGTGGCAATGGGCCGGCCATATAGCTCGAAGAACCGACAACCGATGGTGAAAAAAAGGTTCTCGAGTGGCAGCCTCGTACCGGCAGGCGAAGTGTTGGGCGTCCCCTCACTAGATGGAGTGACGACCTGGTGAGATATGCAGGAGGTCGATGGATGCGGGTGGCTCGAGAGACGTGCTTTGTGGCATTCCTTGGGGG